AGGCAGACCAGGTCTGACCGGTGTCAAAAGCAGAACTCGCCAACTGGACAAAAGCAACTCACAAGCGCGACACCGATATAGTTGACTCTTTTTCAAATATCGAAAGCTACGTACGCGTCTGTATCGCGGACTTTTGTTGCCACTATGGTCCAAAACCAAAACCAAATTGACGTCCAGGACTCGGAGACTGAGAAAGCCCCGAGAGAGGTGGTGATTTCAGAGGGTCCGATTGGGCCCATCACTCTCGAATTCCAGCGCAAGGGCTTCCCCATTTTGACGCAGATCCTTCCACTCCGCGCGGCGATGCGAAATAGAGCAGTGCAGCTTAACCATCCAGAACTATGTCTGAAAACTCCACGTTCCTCGCGAAGTCGCGAAACCTGTTGGGCGTCTTCTAGAACCAGGTCTCCCAAGCAGAATTGAGTCACAGTCAATCCCGGTACTAAAATGATCTACCCAGAACCATGTAAGGAATTAAGAAGGCGGTCGCAGCTATTTATGGTTGGGATCGTCCTTTACCAAGCTTCAGCTACCCAGGTTTTGATTGTGGCTCAATTGACTTACCCTTGCTTCCCCACGGACCCAGGGATGACTCTCAACTCTGCGAGCCAGCTCGAGCCGATGGGGATCCGAGCATTCATCCATGTAGGTCACCTCAACATTCCTGGGCGTACAGCTCTTGTCATGTACTGTGAACCAACGATCTGGGCAAATGACTTTCCATAATTCGCAAGGGAGGAAAAAAGGAAGGACGCTTCCAGAAAAGCAGCCCCACCATGGGCTGGTCTTCTTTCACCCCCAGGCAAGCTCGGTATTGTTTCGCCAGGACTTGGACTAGTTTAATTGTCATTGAAGCCTTTCATTTCTTGGGAAAAAAAAACAAAAACAGTTCCGGTCGGAGTGCCAGGGGGCGATGCTTTGGTCACAGGGGTGCATACTAGAACAGGAGGCACATATGCATAGGAGCACCCTCCACACTGGTGCAAAGCAGGTGTCGTGTGGCCTTTGACCGCAAAGAATGCTCACTGCTTTCATGTAGCATCGCTTCCGAAAGGTTAAAAGGTACAAGGCAAAGCAGCAAGTAGAAGCAACATCTCCGGGGTCCAATTGGATGAGGCTTCAACGAGGGAGCTCATTCGATCAGAATGGCGGGCGTTTCTCGGCTTGATCCAGAAAGCATTGTCCACGAGAGACGAGGGATGAAGTGCTTTCTACACGAACCAGTGACAATTCTGCCATGACAAACCTGGATGTTTGACCCTTTTTGCTGGGTCTCAGCCCAAAAAATAAGGGAATGAACCTGAAAATTATCTTAAAGGAAAGGAAACCACAGGAGATCATTCCCTCATTCCTTGAGCACGCACCAAGTGGAAATCCCAAATCCTAGGCTTTCCGGTCTTCTTTCCAGCGGCCGGGTCGGTGACAGCTTCGCCACTTGAAAGTCGGGGCCAAATTATCCAAGCCTTTCGAGACGCGAAATCGCGGTTGGCTGAAATGTCTTAAAACACAACATACAACTAGAATTATAGAGGCTGCAAACATCTGCTGCAAATAAAGGTCTTTGGAAAGTAATGCAAACACACCTGAGACGGCCTAAACCCAACCCCTTTTCGCTTGCCTCGGTGGCTTATGGCTGCAGGTTGTGTGGGTGAGCCTTGCTGACCAGGTCCAGACGCAGATAGTAGGTTGCATGGGAACCAAAGAAGGTGGTCAAAGATTCCAAGCCATTGCCCTTTTTGGAACCGTCCCAAAGCGTCAGTTTCAAAGGACACCAGAAAATTGATCAACTCTTCAAGGGGAAATGTCACTTAGACAAGGCCACATGCCAGCAAATAGTTAGAACTTGGTTTTGAAACAGTGTGGCAGGACCTCCCGCAAGGCTCACCGGCAAAACGCCCACTTGGCCGGTCACAACGAAGATTTTGAACCTCAAGCGCGAACCTGAGTCCAACCTAGATCTCTATCAGAAATTTCGGCGCCATCTGCTGGGCAAAAAGAATCGGCCAAGCGGAAATGGAAAGCCACACCCACTAAGGCAGATGCGGCTCGAGCAAAACCGCCACGATTTCAAACCCGGACGACATGCGGTGGTTTGCTGGCTCGCATGCCAAGCCCCGCAAAGGTGCAAGCTGCAAAGGCGGCAACATGTTTCTGCTCCGTGACCATGTGGGCCAAAAGAGATTTCAAGAGACACCCTGCATTGCGCATAGTCGCCCGAAGTGATGTTGGGAAGGCATTGCCAGCATTGAGTTTACTGGAACCGTGCAACGTTGCGAACCGAAAAAAGGAACGCTGCCGTCGCTTTCTTGTAGGCATGGAGCCCAAATCTTGATTGCTGTTGACCCCCCTGCAAAAAGTTTAACTTGTTGGGGGTTTAGTGGAAAACCCATTGATTTCAACCAAAAAGATAAAGTCTAAAGATCCAACCCAATGGAGCAGCTTCCCCCTTTCAGCTTTCCCTTGGGCCAGGGAACACCTGGAGTCTCAAAACAGCTTAGGTTTGGTGCCAATGGGCACCAAACCCCTACGAACCAGAAACAAAGGGACCTTCACCAGCGCGTTTTACCCCTGCACTTTCATTTGTTGAGAAACCAAGAGACCTTCGGACGTTGTTTAGCCCAAGAAATCGCAGACACAAGCTCGGTTGAATTGCCCCAGGCCAGATACTGCGCAGTTGCCTCCGTCCTATGCGCGCGCTCGATCAGACACGGCTCAAAGAAGGTTCTTTCACTGCAACATGTCTGGTATGGCCCACTTGAAGATCGCGAGAAGATGCTCACACCGCGCCAAATCATACTCGGGCTAGTGATCCTTGATCCTTTTGCCATACTGACTTGGAAACCACGAGAAACCATTGCTCGTTGGTATTTATAGGGGAATCGAGTCATTCCGTTGGGTTTCTTAGGCGGTGCGAGGAGCGGAATCCGCCACCATCCACCGTGTGGATTTCCTGGTGGAGTCGTAGCGATGACGACGGAGTGAGGAACTTCCGTAGCGATGGCCCAGCTTTGAATCACAAGAAGACGAGTAAGCCGCCCTTGACAGGACAAGTATTTGAGCCACAGTCAAAGTAACTTGTCTCAAAAAGGATATTGACTCTTGGTGGCCTTATGGAGACATAGATGGACCCGGTAAATGGAATAAACCCCATCTAATCCAGTGCCATCTATTTTTAACCGAACTTTTAAAGGACACCTACGGTAGTGAGTCCCCCTGGTTTCTGCTAGACAAAAATGTCCCTCCCAAATGAAACGGCAATTTTGACCAATCCTCATTTGGGTGTTTCTCAAACAGGGTTTCTCGAATTTGGTTTCCTTTGCCGCAGTTGCAACCAAAGAACACAGAAACACAGGGTTTCACCTTTTGGGCCTACCAAAAGGTCAGATACATTCACTGCAAGTGAGAAATGGGGAACATCGGGTTGCAGGACCCATGGCCGGAAAAAAGTTACGGGGCTTGGCATGCCTATGCATAGGCTCCGAATGTTTCCTCCCCGCCGAGCCGGCTAGAGAGCATGCCGGGGAATGCATCCGATGAGCTTTGCTTCCATGGGACCTGGTTGAAGACAAGGGAAACCCCTCATGCGGATCCCAATCTCATGGCCAAATTGACTTTGTGGTTGGGATTCGGGTTGGCCCCTTCGCCCGAAAACAGTAGACTCGTACTTTAGTAACTGTAGCAAGTTACTTTGAGCAACGAACATACGTTGCTGTTTCCGGGACAATTCGCCTCCCCTTTGGTGGGCACCAGGGCTCAAAGTTCGTGTCCTGTATGCAAAGACCCCAGATGCCGAAGGCCGAAATTCAAGATCACCTTGCCAGAAGTAACCACAGACTTGGAGACCACATCTTGGGCCTTGCTAGCTGGCCCCTGGCAGGTTTTGGCCCGCAAGAGGGAGAGTGGACATGCTGCAAACAGTGGACGGGCTTGTTTTTCCCTAGGGCAGTTGTTTTTCTCTGTATTTTTTAAATGGATGGAGGTCTAGTTGCCTGGCTGGCTGGCTGGCTGGCTGGTTGGTTGGTGGGTCAAAAGGAGAACAGACATCTCATGTGAGCCCTTTGGTTTTGAAGGGAAGCCTTGACGGATTTGCCCGGCTCTGCCTCGGATAGTCCGAGATCCGACAGCGATGCGTTCCCCGGCGCACCCGGAACCTGAAACAACCGTTTACATCATTTCCCCGAAAAACACAGTTCCTACGAATAGGTTCTCCAGTAGAGAGGGTAGAATAAGGGCACCCTTTTCTCTGTAGTCTATTTTAGTAGGGGAACCCTCCCCAAACAAAGAGTAAAAGGGCGCTACTGGGGGACCTAGTATGAAGAGACCTCGATGGAAATAGTTGCTTTCAGGTTCCAGGCGAGGAGCAACTTCGAGCACAGCCGGCAACACTGTATCCTGTTTCGCAGACAGCCGCGGAAAGGCGCAAGGCAGGAGGGTAACACCGCGTGGTGATTGACAAAGAAACAAATGATATGCAGAGCGACCCTTCACAAACGGGGTGAGGGTGCGTTTTTATTTATTTTTTCCCCCAACAGCTGAAAGCTTTGGGGTCTCAGCCCAGATAGGCTCCGGGGTGGTCAGGTTCCACGAGGGTTCCACGAGGTTCTGCGAGGGGTGCGGGGCGGTGCGAGCACTAAAAAGAGCACCGCATACTGTTGGGGAGAACTCACCTGAGCTTATTTTTTTCTCACGGGTATCCGCTTAAGGGCTGCACTTGGAACCCTTCGGTTCAAGGGGGAATCAACAGCTACTGACTCAAACTGGGACCAGGATTGCTGGAGTTGGCTGAAATCCAGTTCTTCCTTGTGACATCTCAGTTGTTTACCAAGCCGACAGCCTCCGTTGCCTCCGTTTCTCTCCCTCTCTGCTTGGCCAGAAGACTGCAAAAGGTTGACTTTGCAGGTTAAAAGGGGAAAAAGAAACAGAAGAAGACCAGAATTCAAACGGGTGTCCAAAGGTTTGTTCAGTCTAACGCCAAGGATCTTCTGCAGAAAACCTTTCAACAGCGCAACAACTTCCACACTTTTCTTGCCTTTTCGCCCTCGCGCTTAGCTCAGCGCCGCTGAATGTTTGCCGCTCGCTGCGGGCTGTAGGCCGCTGGGGCCAGGCGGGCCTTCGCGGAATGAGCCGTGGACACCCGCTGGAAAGTTTTGCACAGGTTGCGTGGCGCACAACGTTTTTTTTTCTCATGGCAAGCACCAGCCGCGGACCCCGGCACAAGAAAACTGGCCGCAGGTTGTGTGTGGTCGTAGCAACCCTGCATGCCACGAACCGACTCCTCACAAGAGGCCCACGCGGAAACAGCTCAAGCTGACTATGGACAGTGCATCCCAAAGGTCTGACGCCCACCTGCGGGGCAAGAAACATGGCCACCTGAGTCACAGATCAACAACTTGCCAAGCTCCTGCAGGATTGGATGAAGTCAAGACAAGTTGCCCGAGATCGGCAAAATCCTGACCATCCCTCAACCAATTCTCACAAACAGCCTGGGTGGCCGACAAGCCCACCAAGTTTACAGGCATCCCTAAAGTCTCTCGGTCTCACACGAGTGCGGTTGTAAACAATCGGAACAGCTTCTTGGACCCCGTTGAACAGGCGAATCTGGAGAGTACGGCCAGCGTGCTACGGCCAAGTCGCGCCAAGAAATGAACGGCTCAAGGCAACCGGATCCATTGGTTATCATGAGATCCTGAAAGCTAACCTTTTGCTGGTCCAACGGTTCGAAGTATGTCACATCCCCCGAAATTCAGTCATGAGCAAAGCCACCCTGAAAAGTAAACAAGACCACCCGCAATGGGCCGAGTCTTGCTACCAAAAACCTCGGAATCAAGGCCTCAGCTCCCCGTTCCCTGCCCCCACCTGGCGGTTCCATGCGCGCCATGCGCGGCCCGGCCCTTCAGGCCCGGGGCGTGAGCCGGCACCGGAGGCCGCTGGACATGCCGATGGTGACTTGGGCGTCCGGCTTCACCTAACGAGCAAAGGCCCGGTGGAAACTCTCCTCCAGTTTTGGAGGTTAAAATAAGTTGGTACCAACTTGTTTTTTTCTGTACTCTATTTTAGACCCGGGGAACCCTCCCAACCGAAAAAGACACGCTAAGAGGGCACTTCTGGGGGACCTAGTTGGAACAGGTGGCTTGGTGGTTGAGGGCTGGTTTCCCAGGTACTCTCTGCAAAAGCCGGTTCGAATCCAAACCTTAGGAAACTCAGCCTTCCGCTGATTGTGGCCGGTGGTGAAACAGCCGAACCCGTGGTTTGGGGGGGAAACGGAGGGGGTTTCCCATTTTTTTGCCCTCTGCAAAAGGCAGCTCAAATCCAAATCCAAACCAATCCAAAGCACGAACTAAGGGTGACCTGGGAAGGCTTTAGCAGAGGGTGAGAACCATTCTGGTGGGTGGGCGGGGGGTGCGGGCCCCAGGTTGCTTAGCCCTGAAGGCAAGCAAGCATGAAATTGCACCGGGGGAGGCCGCGCTACCCGACAACAAGACACACGCACACACACCAAAAAATGGGGGGGGGGATCCTCTACGAGGGGTACCTTCCCCCTTCTCACGCAGGGAACCCGTCTTTGAAAACCATTCAACAGGCGAAACAGCAGGTTGTTGAAAAGAAACGCGGTGGGAATGAAGAATGAACCGATGGAACAATCATGGAATTGGACAGTGGGATTTGGAAGACATCCTCTTGCCGCCCCTTGTGGGAAACCGAGCTCACTTGGAAACAAACGCGCGTATTCCTTCACCGCACCAAACACGGGCCGCCAAGAGGCCTCGCTGGCGGGCATGGCCAGCTCAAACTTGTAGGCCCGCAGCAAGGTGCTGATGACGCACTTCATCTCCTAGAAAAGAAAACCTCTTCACACGGGTGCATGCGTGTTTTCTTGAGGATTCTTTCCCAAGAAAACAGAAAAACCAGGTTTTGGGACATACCCACAAGGGTTTCCATGTCACGGCCCTTTCTCTGCTGCACATAGTGTGATTTTGATACCCCAGCCCTGCATGAGAGAGCGATTAGAGGGAGATAGCTAGGGCCGGCCTGAACACTTGGGAACGCAACTCACTGCCGCTGATGTGTGTTCTGGAAGGGTTACCTTTCATCAAACATGCGCTGGTGTGGGAGGATATCTGTTTACTGCACAGTGACTGGGACGATACAGTTCGAAAAGTCGACGACAAAAGTCATCTTTGAATGAGAGGCTGCAATTGACAAAATGATAGGAACGGGAGTTGTATGCCAAACATGGAGGCATTCGAAGTCAGGATATATCCACAAGCCGCACCCTGTCTTGATTGTGGCCTTGCTGAACAGCGCTGAATATAGTTCCCCTCCCCCCAGGCAAACATGTTTGATGGAAAGCACACCGCCCCCATTTTGGACGACCACCTTGGTCTTGAGAAAGAAAAGCTGCCTGACTGGTTGGGCCTTGCCGAACAAAAAACGGCAGGGTTGTCACCCAGCCAGCAGGCCACTTCCCCCATTTTAGGCCGCCTCTCCGCGTCTTGGCCTTTTGTACGCGGGCCCAACATGCCCACTGCAGGGTTTGTGGGACGTATCCCTCGCCAGGGCACCGAAAGCGCACCCATGGAGCCAGCCCATTTGCCCAAGGGCTCCGTGAGCATGAACTTCATCAAAAGTCTACCCCCCCCCCCTGCCCAAGAGCTTAGGGTTTAGGGTTGCTTTGCTCACAGTCTTAGAATTGCCCTCCGGAAAAAGCATGTTGTCATTCCCCCAAATGGATCCGGGGAACCCCGAATAGGAAAGACTGAAGCAATGGTGCCGGGGGCCCCTTCAAAAACTTGCTGGTGCTGAGTAGAAAATGACCTTCCAGGTGAACCGATAGGACATAGATGCCTTTTTCTCCAACCAGAAGGGGATCGATTCCCTTAAAGGAAACCATATAACAAGATCAATTCTGTTTTCCTTCTTGGGCATTCCCTTTCTCATTATGAAAACAATATTCACCATGGTTTTGTTTTCCTGGGCATTCCCAGTTTCAACAAATTCTCCGTGCCTATCGAAGCAGCGACAAAAACTACCGCCAGCTTGGCCGAGGGGCCACCATGGCCAGTCGCTTCCCAAGGCACTCTCTGGGGCCCGCGTGAAAGACCGGGTTCCTCGGAGAAGGAAATGAGAACGAGACGGAGGGGTTCAATTTGCGCCCTGACCGGCCGTGCGAAACGAACAGGAAACGGTCGCCCCACCCCCCCCCCCTCGGCTGGAAAAGTGGCGAACAATCCGTGCCTCTGATTTAATAACAGAAGGGCTTTGTGGGAACAGACTTATTCGGCTTTCGCGGTAGCGAGCTCCAACATCCTGTGCATCATGACATGGCTGGGTCTCAACTCTGAATTGAAGCCCCATAGTTCCAACCAACCCTCCACTGGCCACCCAACCCCCGCATCCAAGCCGCTCGTAGGAGGTCTTGGGGCTGGCATCCAGCCACCGCTCCGGGCGGAAGCTGTCACAGTCCTCGCCCCAAATCTCCGACCACCGCCCCATGGCGTAAGCGGAGTACCTGGAGCCATCTGGAGCCGTGCACTTCACGCAGTGGCCCCCCCCTCTTCGCAGCGGAAACCGGAAACCGAAAAGGAGTGGGGGTCGCAGAGCAAAATATCGCGAGCGACCGGTAAACTGATGATCTCTGGCTTTTATGCCGGGGAAATCCCGGCAGATGCGAAACCCGACGGCGTCGGCAGGGACTATCACGGATGCTAACCTCCATCAACCCTCAGCTTCCCTCTTGGTGGGTTGGATGCGTGGTTTGGTTTTCCGCAGTTTCCCATTTACCCTCTACACCCTTGTGCTGCATGATGGCGATACTGTGAAACAGGGACATTCTCGTGTGCTTCTCCATGATTGGAACGATCACAAGTGGATGAATGAATTCATTTACCCGAATGAATTAATTTACCCTCTACAACCAGGATGTATTGCACATCACAAGCTTTGCATTTTTGTTCTTTAGACTGGTCCCTAAAAAGTAATTAAGCAAAGTAGATTTACCAACATTTGGCATACCAGGACATGGTTCAAATCCAAATCAGAACCCACCAGGCTCCAAAAACAACCCAAGCTGGACGGGGTCCGCGCCGAGCGGCAGAAGCAAAGCGCCCTTCGGCACTTTGCTGCCATCTGGCAAGGTGTCGTCCTGGCTTCAAGCGGGCGACCTTTTTGTTGCATTTGTCCCGTAGTTGGGAGGGGTCATATCAGCGGGCTGATTATGCGTATTTATGCTGATTGATGTTTTCTTTTGTTGCTTTGAACGAATTGTGGCACATATATACATACATATGTGTATATATGTACTATATATATGTTCCGAAAGGAATTCGAGGGTTGATCAATATTCCGTTCGGTCCCGAAATGACCAGAAAGTCTCATCCGTTTGGTGGCAGTCCACAATGGTCAGCTCATATAAAGGACCTTTTGATCAGCCTCCAAATCAAGTGGCTGGGGGTTTGGCAGAAAGAAGCTGGTCGCCGTGCTACCCAGGACAATTAGCCGGGAGGTGTCCATTTCCGCGGAACTCAACACCTTTTGGGGGAAACATCCTCCTACAGCTCCTACATGTACTATATGCACATGTCTAGGACAAATCGGGGTCCAGATCACTGAGTAACGAACCAACAACTATGAAGGATCAAGCACCTCCTATTTGTGTGCGTCCCATTCGGGGAACTATTGCAGACTCCGTCTCTCTCTCTCTCTATAAGTCCTTCGCACTTACCAATACTTAAATTCCCAGACGGGGATCTCCATGGCAGACCTGAAAGGAACTTCTTCACATTGCACATGACCAGGTAGCTGTCTGACTCTTTGCGCACCAGGGGCTTCCCGGGCACAGGTGTCCGAAACCACCCGCTTCATTCGCAATGTCCCTAACCAGAACTTCTGGTAGATCCGAAAGGCTCCTTACTCCTTCAATCGTCACATCAAAACGACCCTCTGAATGACACCCACAATCCCCTCACCCTTAACATTTGGGTGTGTCTTTTTTTGAGGGCACCCATACTGGGGCTGGTTTCAAGTTGAATGGAAAAGAACCCTTTGCCCCCCAGTTTTTGGAGGGCACCCCAATCCCTCAATTTTTGCGACAACCCCCTGCCCGGTCCTCCAAGACCATCTTGCCATCGATGGGCACGGAAGGGTACAGCCGCAAGCTTTCGCTCAGCACTGCCTCGCCCGCGCCCACACTCAGGGTTTGCAAGGCTCTTGCCCACACGCCTGCGTTGGTCTGGCTTCGAGGTGTTTGACCATCTCTGGTCCACTGGTGGTTTCCACTGGTGGTTTGCAAAAACGCAGGGGGTTAGCCTCTCGGCCCCCTGAAAAGAGAAAAGAAGGGAACGACCAACTCGCCCAACATGCGCCAGGGCCCGCCCATGTGACTGGTCTGATGGAGTCGGATCCACAATTCGGGTTCGGGCGCCTGAGGCGCACCCCTCATGGGTCCATCCCTGTGCAAGGAAGACGACTCAAGACGAGGCCAACCACGAGCCAAAACAAAAAAAACACGCCCCCCCAAGGGCCAAAGCGTCGCCGAAAAAAAAAAAAACCGCTGCCAGCCTCCAGGTACTTCATCTTGTTCAGCCTGCGCGACCAAGACAATCCCGAAAATGCGCCGCGAAGCTGGGATCTCATGGGACTGAACCGCTGAGGCTCGGAACAACTCACAAAAAAAACTCGTAAATAGCCTCGTGTCGAAAGGACTCGAGTGCTCAAACCAGAGGGACTAAGTCTGCCATTCGAGGGGAACTCAGGGCTCAATGAAAACGAATGGAAAATCCTAGGTGCTTCAACGAGCGAAAAGACAAATACGGCTGCCCCTGCAGGCAGGGGTCATTGTCTGCCCGCAAAATTATGCCGAGGGTCAAGTTGATCGCCCCTTGATTCAACGTGTCGGATTCGGAACACACGAGTGTCGACACCTATGTGACACCATTGCCCTGCATCTGGCTTGTTGTGCTGTCGAGAAACTGGTGGCAGCTGCCTCCCGTCCGAGCAAGTAGACATACGCCCTGTGCTGATTCTTAAGAGTTCCACTTGCTCAGTGTCCGTGTCCCAGGTTGCAAAGACAATGCACCATGTATGTGGCTCTTCTGGTGAGCTCCAATTCAACTCACGGCCAAATCTCATGCTGGAAACTTGTTAGCCGAAACTCAGAGCCTTTGAACCAGTGGACAACCCGGGGATGTATCCAAAACCTCTCGCAGAAACTAGCCATTTTCGGGCCCCTGGCCCCCTTCGGCTTCTTACTTGAATCGGCCGTTGGCCCACAAAACAGAATGGTCGGCTGTGGTTGAAATGGAATCCACTTCCGTGATGCAACAAAAAAAAACCTTGTTCGTCCCATAAGGGGGAGATTCCAACTGGTATCACAGTGGTTGGGTAAACCCGAGTGATCATGCACAACCCTGCTAGCCCATCAGTGCGTGAAATCTTGGAAACCAAACAACCAAAAGCAACAGCCAAAGGAAACCGCAAGAAAACCGCACATGGAACCCCTTTCAACTGCCTACCCCCCTGTGCCCCCCCCCCCCGCCAAACCCAAACTTCGATCTTGGCGCCAGGCTGATCGTACTCGAGGGGCCCTTGGCAAATGCCGCTGACCTCCTCCAGGATCTTCGCCTCCACCTCGCAACCGAAGCGGGCGAAACCCCGCGCTCCGTTTCGCGCGGCGCTTACGCGGCACTCGAGGCATCCTGCGTCAAGGACCCCAAAACTGGTGGCCCTTCTTTTTGTCTCCCAACCCAACCGTGACAAGGTACTCTCCAACAAAACAAACGTATGTTATATTCGTGTTGCTTGTCAAACATGAACTTCAATGTTGTGCGCTGAGATGGCGTTCATGAATCATAAGAATGTCAAACATGACAGCAATGTGTTGGCCAATGGCCAGTTTGAGGCAGTTGAACAAGCAGGATCCGCACTAGTTACTTGCTATATGTCGCCAACCTGAATTGAGGAACTGCAGACCAACACCCAAAACAAGTTGGGCCCATCTTGGATGTCACCTGCCAGCTCGTGCGTATGTATATATATATATATACATATTATGTAGAGAGAGAGAGATATCGATGCAAATAATTTACACAGTTGTGGGCGTGTTGTTTTTCGAAGGCACCCATTTGTGGTGGCTTGACAAGGAACACCAAAAGGACCACCCACCGATTTGAGGGTCTCCGTTTGAAACACCCCAATCAGATGTGTGCCCTTTGTTGAACACACCAAATAGGACACACATCTGATTTTGATTTGGGACACACAAAATACGATCACTCCCATAGGATTTGTCTGTGTCTCAAAGGAACACCAAAGGACTATTTTGAGACACACATCTGGGAGTGGACAGCTACTCCTCGGGCCCCGACCTCAGGATGCTGGGTGAGGAGGAACAGGCACCAGGTCATCGCCTAAACGTTTCGGATACGCGAAAAGCCAGGAACTGTCCGCGTGAAATATGGAGACACCCCAACCAAACCAGGGAAAAATCGGGAATTCCGGCGGCCGGGAATCACCGAGAAGGTCCAGTTGGGTAAAAGTGGGGTGTCCTTCTTAGCAGATCCCCCAAAATGGATTGCGATGGCTTTCCTCTTGGTGTCCAAATTCAAAACCAACCAAAAAAGGGGGTAGATGGCCAAGAAGTCATTGTTTGCCACATGGACCAAACCTAACAGTGACTGAAGTCCAGTTGACCTCAGGGAGTGAGGTTGGGTATGAACGGGCAGAATTCAAACCCATTTTGGGTTCAGTCAGGCCCGTGCCGTACTTTCACCCTCATAAAACTGGAAGGGCTTTTTCAGGGCGAACATGAGTCCCAACTCCCAGGTCTCCCGAAGTGAGCCAGTCAAAATGGTCGCTTAGTCTACGGGACATGGGAAAATGGGTCTTCCCTGTGTGGTGATTTTGGTGTCCCTGATGTCCCTCCCAAAGTCAGACTCATATCATTTGGCAGAGATATGCCACTTGACAACTGAGACAAAATCGAATGTTATCAAACCCCGGCCATCTGCAATCGCCTAGGTTTCGAATGCCACTGGAGGGTGCTCACATGTGAGCACTGTGGCACACTTCCCCACATATGCAACATAGCCGTCGCAGTGCAGTCAAGCACGTCGTGACCGGCATGAATGAGCGACATCGCAGCAAACACATTCCAAGAGGTCATGCCAGGGAATCTTGCGGCTCGGATGTTCACAAATCAGAGAACTCGCAGGGTATGCGCGCCATGGTCAAGGTGCCCTCAAGAACCTTACAATGGTTGGGCCTAAAATCCGTATCTTTCGAGGTCCACCAGCCCAAAGTAAAGGTGCGTACGGTGTTCATGGTCCCAGAAATAGGAGACTTTGCTTCGGGCGATGTTAGGAAACCTAAACGGATAACACCGCTCCATGTTCCGCATGGACGCCGCAAGCAGTCAGAACCAGAGAACAGGCCTCCCTATTGCCCTAACATCATCCCAAAACCACTCACTGTGAAGTAGCCCAAAAGGAGATGTGTTCAAGCCACCTTGAGAGGAAATGGGGGGGGTCTGTTGAAAGGTTGGGCCCCCAAAAATGGTGGTTTTCCCTTTGGCTTCCCTTGAAAACCCCGAAACAGGGTGCAATGGTGCACCACTCACTCACTCACTCACTCACTCACTCACTCACTCACTCACTCACTCACTCACTCACTCACTCACTCACTCACTCACTCACTCACTCACTCACTCACTCACTCACTCACTCACTCACTCACTCACTCACTCACTCACTCACTCACTCACTCACTCACTCACTCACTCACTCACTCACTCACTCACTCACTCACTCACTCACTCACTCACTCACTCACTCACTCACTCACTCACTCACTCACTCACTCACTCACTCACTCACTCACTCACTCACTCACTCACTCACTCACTCACTCACTCACTCACTCACTCACTCACTCACTCACTCACTCACTCACTCACTCACTCACTCACTCACTCACTCACTCACTCACTCACTCACTCACTCACTCACTCACTCACTCACTCACTCACTCACTCACTCACTCACTCACTCGCTTCCCGAGTGGATTGGCCAAAACAAATACCCAAACGTTTGATTCACCGCCAGAATGGTCCAAACCCAAAAAGTGAGGTTCTCTCCAGCTCCTCCGGTCCGTCCCGCCTGCGCGGTGGTGTCGCGCCCTGCAAGGAGGAAGTTCAGCACCAGATCCGACAGGAACTCCTCGGCCGATGGGGGGTTGGACATGAGGGTTTTGTTTGTTCTTTATCCAGGCTGCAAATGGGGGGGGGAGTTGTTTGGAGGTTTTGGACTCAGTTTCCAATTTAGAGTGGTTCAGCTTAAGTGCTGTTTCAAAGTTCCTGTTATGTCAAAAGCATGGTTGGAAACCTAAAGGAAAAACAAGCCATGGATTGGGTCAAATCACCGAATCACGATTCAAGGAAACCAAGCGGACAAACACATCGGAACATGTTACCTTCAAGGGCCCAAAACACGGGGCGGGGGGGGGCTTGCCCTTAGCCCTGTGGAAACTGAGGGAAATCAGCTGAAACACGAAGCACTACACTAGCAGTTGCATTCTGAGAGGGCTTCGGGGCATTGCTATCAATGCTTTTCTGAGACAACGCTTCGAGAATGACACAGGGAAGCAGTTCATTTGGCCACCTGACTACGGCGCGGTACGTCAAGAAACACGCAATCCCCAGCACAGGGCGCTTGGATCCCCTAGTAGCATCTTTCCGAGGAGGCGCTAGCACATCTTCAAAATGGCTATGTCAGGAGACGATTAGTAACCCCCCCCCCCGATTAAAGGTTTCCCCTTTTCCCCCAGGTTCCAGCCAGATTTCCCAAAAAACAACCTGCCCAATAATTGTTGAGCCCTCCCCAAAACCCCCCCTGATTGAAGGTATCCCTCTGCAGCCCCCGAGCCAACAAAACCTGCCAGACAGGTGCTTTCCTTCTTGCTTAGTATTTGCTTAGTCTGTGCTTAAACCCACCAATACTAAGTCACTATTGAACCCCTCAAGCTTTCCCCAAGAATGTGCTTCCCCCGAAATGCATTTTCCTGCTAAAATTTGTTTAAAATGACAAGGTTTTCAAGCTCACAAAGGGGACCCCCCTTGGAGGCCAGTCCCCCCTCATTCACAGAAACCCCCCGCGCCCTTTTGGGCTCAAAACCCAAAAAATATGCTGATGCCTTTTAAAGTCCTACTGCCCCGAAGGGACCAGAAGTAAGAGGACGAGGACCGAAGGGGCTCCAAAGTACTCAGGGGGGTCCTCCCAAAAATCTCATTTTTTGGGACTTGTCCAAACCTTGTCAACCTTGAAGGGGGGGGGGGGGTTACTAAGCAGTTGTCACTATTAAACATGAAGCATACGTGGACCCTTGGTGTCCTTTTCGAACAATAGACGGCCCTGGTTGCTGGCTTCAACCAAAATGAAACCAGTTGGCAAAAAACCATCGCCACACCTGCGGGATAAAGTCCGAGAACAACCTTTTGGCGCTAGAATGCACGAATGTTCTAACGGCTTGTCCCAGCCGTACCAACCGTTGTCTAGATGTTGAGACTAGGTGCTCCAGGGAACAATGACAAATTGAGGGGTCCGTTAGTCCCGGTCAGTCCTCTGCACTTGGAGCAAAACACATCGTGGCTGAAGAGAGAAGCAGAAATGGGCCATGTCCCAGTTCTTAGAGCACAGTTCAGGCCGGGGTCCAAAAAGCGCTCCTCGGGCCTACCCCCAGCAACAAGGTACACTCCTTACCTAGGCTGTCCTCAGATCCCCTGCTAAGAGTTTCACTTTCAGTGGTTGAGTAGAAAATACCATAGACCCTCAAAGCCTGAAACCCTAATGGCTAGGAACAACAAGTTGCTACATTGGTGGAATACAAGGGAAACTTTGAGGGCAACGTTCTGGACAGGTTCACAGGTCATTTCGGTCAATCATTATGAACCCGCGAAACAGCTCACAGCCTCGCCTCGGAGAACTCGCCAGATTCCATGAAGAGACCCACGAAGCTGTCCCCGGCAGTGTCCGCGGACTGGAGAAAATGCCAAGGCGACTGCTTGTTGTGGTCGTTGTGGTTGTGCTTGTTGTGGTTGTGGTTGTGGTTGTGGTTGTTGTGGTTGTGATTGTGGTTGTGGTTGTGGTTGTCGTCGTCGTCGTCGTCGTCGTCGTCGTCGTCTTTGTCGTTGTCGTTCTCGTTGTCGTTGCTGCTGCTGCTGCTGCTGCTGCTGCTGCTGCTGCTGTTGTTGCTGCTGCTGCTGCTGCTGCTGCTGCTGCTGCTGCTGCTGCTTCTGCTTCTTTCCTTGTTGGGGGGGGGTATCCGAGACTTGGAGAGTTGTGTGTTTCCTTCTTTTTCGGGCGGGGGGGGGGAGCTCAATCAAGATTTGAGTCACTCACTCATATGAGCCAAGTTGCATTTGAGCAGTGGCGATCCCACCATATGTCAACTGTCCCCCCCCCCCCGCATGGAACTTTGGCAGCTCAAATTCCAACTCCCAGCTTGGTGAGTAGCCCGTGGCTTGGGCCCTCCGAGTCGGGGATCAGAGGTCACTGCCACAAATGAGCGTTGCGGTGGTTGCGGTAGTTGCCGCCATTTGTGGCGCGCTTCGTTTGTAGCAAACGAACAGGTTGGTGTCACACACTTTGATGTCTGCAGCGAGTTGCGTTTCTTCTCAATGGCTGAGCGCGAGTTTTGTTTGTTCGCGCGAAGGATCGCACGCAAACAGTGTTCTTTTTGCATAGAGGATAGCTTCCCTTGGTTGCCCCCAAAAATTGAAGATCCCCCTCTTAAATGGGACACACATTTGCTCAAGAGGACACAAATGGAGACTCACTCATCCAATCTGGGGGCAACGCTGGGGGCACTTTTGCTGGCGCAGGACGTGTTTTCCAAACTTGAAGTGGCCCCTCTCAGGGATCCTGAACATTGCCTTGTAAATGGAGGCTTCCCTTTGTTTTGGTGGAAAAAGCAACATGTTTCAAATGGTTGCAACATGTATCTTTTAAGGAGCCCCGCCTCTTGGCCCAAACCCCAACCGGCGGCTTCCGCCTGCGTCTCCAACTTCTGGCGCAAGTCCCGCACCAGCTGCCGACTTTTCCTGAAACGAGAAGCCACGGCCATAGGCAAAGCACCCCATAGGGAACGAGCCGGAAGGTCGAGAAAAACCATCCATCCAATTTGGTTTCCTGTAAGGGAATCCCCTTCCAGTTCATGCCCTTCCACCCGGGCTCGGTCATTCCCTGCCCAGTCCCTTCGGTCCCCTTCTAAAGGGATCTTTCAACCAATTTTACCCACATCTTCCCTCCTTCTCAGGGCCCGCCGGTTTGGTCCTGACTGTCTCTGGGGGGGGTTTTTCGCACAGGGGGTCTAGGGTTTTGGACTTCCCGTACTGGATGTGCCCGGAAGGGGACAAAGAGTTGGACTCGAAGCCTCTGAAGTCTCGATTTCTGTTTCAGGTGTGTGCTTCCAAAAGTTGGTCTTAAGCTGACACACGCAAACACACACAATACACCCCTTGGCTCAGTTGGTGTTACAGGGAAACCCAAGTACATCAACAAACCTATTTGGGTTCCCAATACAAAGGAAAAACAGGTGTACACAATCGGCCTGGCCGGCCTATGGCGTTGATGTCTTCATCTGATTAATCATCGCCCCGAGATGAAAGACGTCGCTTTTTCTCATTCTACTGCCAGCCAATTCAATACTGGTTGAAAGGTAGCCACATGGGTTTACCAAATGACCTCTCCCATTCCGAATTTTGGAACTCCAGAACACGCGATTAAAGAAACCCACAGTTTCTTTTGTTCCAAAAACAAAACTACTGCCAACACTTCTGTAATTCCTTCTCCTCTCATAGCCTGAAGAGTTGCGAATCAAGGTTTGACCAGCTCACAAAGGGTGATACAAGAGCCCGGGACCGGAGAGGACCTGCCAGCGAGGACTCCGGGAGGCTGAAGTTGGTTTCTGTGAGAATGTGGACTCCAACCTTTAGCAGGGATCCGGATGCATTATACACCTGAACATTGCAACTTGTAAATGGTGGGTTTCCAACTTTATTTAAAGGTGTGGAAAAAGCAAACCATGTTTCAAGTGGTTGCACAATGTATCTTTTTTTTTGAATTTAGAGGACCAGATTGGAGCAAACTGGTAGCAAAACCCCGGAGCCCCAGTTGAAGCCCCGCCCAAAGCCCACTGCCGACGCCCGCCTGCGGAGGAGCTTCACGTGGAAGCTGAAGCTCCGCTCAAAGCCGAGGCCGAAGAAGCGCAGGACTTTCCAGCCCGGCATGATGAACCGCCTGGGGTGTTGTCGAGTCCGGTCCATGCAAAAGGGGGGGGGGTCTTGGGTTTTTTGGATATACTTGGGTAGCTTCTGAAAGGGGAACAAAGGGCAAAACACTCATTTGGCAGAAGATGGCAATTGTGCATCAATACGTAGATTCGAGTTTCAGCCAAACCGACTTTTCCAAACACATATGCCTTGGCCCGAAATTGCCCCTTCACTTGTGCTTCGTCACAAGATACCGCCAGGTTCACTGGACGGCCGCTGCTGCGAATCAGTCCGTGAGCCTCTGAAACCCAAAAACTCAATGCGATTGGGGAGAGCGTTGGGCGCAAGGAGGGTCGTTATAAGGCTATGTCAAAATGGGGGGCTTGGCGCTCAAGCAGGGACACTCCAAAAATCACACACAAACACAGAAACAAACACACCCATGTCTGTATATATAAATATATATATATATATTGCTTTGCACAAGCTTCTTGAATCAAACTCCGGGCGAAAGATACTCGGCTCGCTTTGAGATGTTTCCACTTTCGGCTGACGGTATGGACCCTGCCCAGTGGCGTGAGCACAAAGCTGACACAAATGGCAAGGGGGCGTTCGAGTCTCGAAACAGAGCGACATGTGGGCGGCGAAGCCTGTTGAGACGTGTTCCGCAGGTTTTGGGTCGCCTTTCTGAGGTCTCACTGAGGGGCCCGAAGCCCGAGGTCGCCCGGCCCGGGTTCGCGCCAAACCGGGTGGAGCCATCTGATTCCCCAGGGCCGTGACCGCGGCCGGGCCCCAGCACATGCGGCCCCTGCCTCAACAGTACTCGCTGGGCGTCGTCGAAGGAACTGGGCGAGGGAAGCAACGGCGTGAGACAGGAACTATGACCAGCGCAAGATTCCGGAGGCCAAATCCTGGCTCCTGTCTGCGTTGCCAGTTGCACAAACCAAATGCAAAGCCTCTTGGGCGAACGTACCGCACCAAGCTGAACTGAGGGACCCCTCAGAACGAAACTGTCAACTGTCATGGGTAAGGTTGCAAACCGAAACGCTTGGTTTGCGCTCAGTCATTCACCTGACAATGGTCTAGTGCACCGGCTCCCAAACCCCAAGAATTCAAATCGACTTCCAGGGCGCAAGGAGCACAGGAAACACCCGGCGGAGCGCTGGTCAATCCGCCGAACTTGTCCAAAAACTCACGGCTTCTGATATCAAAAAGAAAGCACCCATGACGATATCGCAATTAGTTAGAGAACTATCCGGGGCCGTGAGCCGTGAGCCGGGGCGAAACAAGTCCGACGTCTGGACAGTTCAGTTGGGACGGCCAAGAGCCCACTTTGACAAAAAGAAACAGCTGTCACAGGAACCACAAGTGGGTCTCTCAAGATTTGGCGTTGTCGGTGGATGGGTTTTATCCGGATCCAGCCCTATTTCGAGACAGCCGCAAGTAGGGTGTCAAAAAAGTATCGGGAATCAGGGAACTGCGAAGTACCAAAGGATACAGCAACACATCCCTGCCAAGCTTTTCTGGGCTGGAAGCGAAGTTGAACTGTCTTTTTCTCGGCTCTCCGTGCATTTGTTTTCCTGCCACATGGTACGTCCTTTCAGTTGCCAACAATGACCGGGGCCGAAAATTTGCTGAAACTTGCTCGAACAAGTACCCTATTAGAATCAGGGTACCCGAGTTTTTGTCTGTAGTCTATCTTAGTAGGGGCACGCCCCCCCCAAGCAGGGTAAAAGGGCACTACTGGGGGACCTAGTACCTGCTACCTCTGAAGACTCCTTCAAGACAAAAACAAGTCCATCGAAGCAGGTCTCGAGTATAGGTTTTGTCTGAACTCCCATTTGCTGTCCAGGGGGCCGGGGGCTGTGCGGCTAAGCATGCCTCAATGAGGTAGCCCGCATGTAAGCAAGAAACATGGCTTTTGTGTTTGCCCTTCCAATTCAAAATGAGCAGAACCAAGAAGCACACAACTCAATCATGGCAGCGGCCAAGTGCTGTGTGACCTACCTTCCTTTGGTTTCCCTTTTCTGCTCTCATTGAGGTTCCCTTCCAACGCCTTTGTTTGCCAGTGCCTGAAGCCCAATTTCCTTTCAACGCGCAAATTCGAAGACGCACTGGACCCTGGTCGGACCCGAATTCACCTGTTGGAACCTTCACCATAAACCACAGGGAAACCAAATGGTTGCAAGATCGATTCGGACCTGGGAAAAAATCAAAGAAGATCACCTTTCGAACCCTTGACTATGGGCCTTGCCAAAGACGAATCCCCCTAAAAAACATCACCATCACCATCACCATCATATCACCATCATATCACCGTAATATCACCATCATATCACCATCATGTCACCATCATATCACCGTAATATCACCATCATATCACCATCATATCACCGTAGTATCACCATCATATCACCATCATATCACCATCATATCACCATCATATCACCATCATATCACCGTAATATCACCATCATATCACCATCATTTCACCATCATTTCACCATCATATCACCATCATATCACCATCATATCACCATCATATCACCGTAATATCACCCTCATATCACCATCATATCACCATCATTTCACCATCATATCACCATCATATCACCATCATTTCACCATCATATCACCATCATATCACCATCATATCACCATCATATCACCATCATATCACCGTAATATCACCATCATATCACCATCATATCACCATCATATCACCGTAATAGCACCATCATATCACCATCATATCACCATCATATCACCATCATATCACCGTGGTGTTTCCTATAGTGAGATCCCCTCGTATCAGTTTCAACCGATTCGCTTGCGGAAAGACGAGTTCGATTCGCTGCTTCGCTCGATCCCCAGGGCCCGGGCTTCAGAAAGGGGCTGCTGGGATCCTCCAGGGACCCGATGTCCGCGCCGAAGCCGATCTCCCCGATGGAGTCCAAGGTGAAACGGTTCATGAGGTTGAACATGTTCACCTCCTCTCCTGGCTGGTCTTTTCTCTATAATTTCTCCACGGATATATACACATGCATATATATATATATATACATACGAACGTATATCGCATATAAATATCTATGTATATATGTATATATGTGTATATATATTATATATATATCCCTGAAAGTGTATATACATATTTAATGCGAACATGTGTACATGTGTGTGTGTGTGCCTGTTGCCTTCTCTTGCTTTCTATTCAATAAAGACATGTGATTGTGTTGTTACATGAAAAGAAACACCGCTCCTGTTGCAGTTCTTGTGCATTGGACAACGCATGTGATTCGGTTGATATCAAAAAACCTACTGCTTTGACTCACGCCCCGTGCGACTTTAGGTCGTGGGAGCGCAGAACTAGTCTCCCCGTGAGCCTGAGGTTGATACGTTGCCTAGAGGAGCTGATTCGGTCCGTATAAAAATGCCTGGCGCAAAACACAACACGAGAAACCCGCCCGCATGAAACAGCTTTCAGGACATGTTCCAGGAAAAAATCCTTTGATGGACTTGGAGAGTAACTGCGCGAGATAACTACAAAAGCACTGCGCACACGGCTTGCAGTGATTGAGCTTCACACTTCCCCTAGCTAGAAACTAGCAAGAGAGGCCCACCTGGTTTAATTGTTTAATGTGCCACCAACAACACGCATTTCCAGTCACGCCATTTCTCGTTGAAGCCAGGAGAAAAACGACAACTGATCTGAAGCAGATGGATGTGCATCACATGGATCTTCATGATCTGCTTGAGGCGTCTGGTCCTTTCCTTGAGTTGCTTGGCTTGTGAAGGTGGAGATTTGAACGGGCCCAATGGACGAGCGCCTTTTTATGGTTGGGACTGTCCCGTACTAACCTTCACTTACCCAGGTTTTCATTGTGACTCAGGTGGTCTCCACGTTCCAACAAGTTGTTCTTCCTGTGGTAAAAGGGCACCTAGCTGGGGGACCTAGACCTGACATGCCTTCCCCCCCGGCAGGTCTCCGGCAGTGGCTTTCAGAAGGCCCATCACCTTGCCGCAGTTCCTCACGGGGCCAAAGGCCCTTTGGGCCTTTTTGGAGTTGGGGGGTTCACCCCCCGGCTTCGAACGTGCCTACTCTCCAAATCGGCACGGAACCTGAGCTTCGGCGGCTCCTGGCTTGAACCATTTTCCATTTACAGGGATCCCTGAACGTACGTCAGGTCCCATGTGAATTGGTGCGGGGATAAACCGCTTAAAGAAACCCTATGACGAGGGTCTAGTTGTTTTAACAATTTTGGCCCAATCCCACCGAGCAATACCTCCAAGCCATGGAAGTTTGTTTGCAAACCAGGGACCGTGAGGCGCTTTAACCGTGGGGTTCGCAGCGGTGTTTCAAAAGGAAATCAAACGAAGCAACATGGGGCCTCAAGACTTGCTCTCTGCTTCTTCTTTTTTTCACTAGAAGCGGATTTTTGCTCCGGCCAGGCATCCCCAGCATCACTCTGACTCCGTGGCAGTTGGGGGCTGCAACTGCTTTCGTTTCGCTGGGCTTGGGCTTCGTAAAGTCAGCTTTGGGCGAGGTCCAAGTGCTGGGGATGCTCATGCGGCCAACCCCCGCGAAAAGAACCGGTTCGAAACAAAAACAATGGATGGGCACAAGTGCAAGGTTTGGGTTGCGAACGTCCCCAAGGACTTGTACAGTGGGGGGAGGGTCAGACAGACCTCAAATAACTTTTGGGCTAAACTGGGGCTCTCCAGAGCCCCGGAGCGCCTAACATGGCTGAAAAGTAAAAAGTGTTAAACAAGTCGTCTACTTGGAGGGGGCAAAGACTGAAACCCTTTAGCGGTTGCAACTTGTTCAGAGGCTGGCGTCCTTTTCGGCTGTAGAAGCTTTGGTTGAACATCGAGTCGGACCTTTTGTTTCACTTGAGCCAGTCTAAGAAAAAGCTGATGGCTCCGCAATGGGCACTTGCTGAGATCTCCAGGTCATCGCAGGATTTTTAGTGATCATAGTCTACGGGACATTTTGACCTAGCCTCACTTGGGTTTCCTCTTGAACCGCTGAAAGCGTCACAAAAAGTCACGCACACGCACACACGTGATGAGTTTCAACCGCTGCCCTTCAAAGCCAACCGGGGAAAAACAACGCAAAACACTAAAGTAGGTAAATCGGGAAAATCTCCAAAAGGAACCTTCGGGCTCCAACGGCACACTCTTCAACCCGTGAGGTGATTCAATTTATCCATTTCAGCAGAAGGAAGCAATCCATACCCTCACGTCCACTCACATGGAACCTGACTGAGGGGTCCTGGAAGACTATGTTCCTTTAGAAGGGACCTTCTGGTAAGTTTCTTGCTACTGGACGGGAGCGCAATCCGTATTAAACACCGACCCCTTCCGCAACCCAATGATGAATACAATGCCCTTTGAACAGCCCAGCCAACCCTTCGCCGGCGCTCCCCATTAGCAATCAAAACCTGGTACGATAGGAGTCCACCCAAAACCGTACACAGAATCAACAAGGCGACCGCGCCCGTTCATGGCTGGGAATGTTCCCTACCAATCCTCAAGTACCCGGGTGGTGATTGCGACCCACTTTATGCTGGCACAGCCGTTATCATCACCGGTAACCTGTTTGTTGGCTCTCTGCCAACAGGTGCCCATGTTTTTTTTCAAATAACATGTTTAACATATGTACAGGTCATGACAATGCTCCTTCGTTGATTAAACAACAAGCCATCTTCAAACCACGGAAGTCCATTCATGCGTTCGGACTTTGTCACTCCTTTGGCATGGAACCCAAGACCCAAACAAGGCCCGAATAGAGGGAAATCCCTTGACATCCTCAAAACCCTTTCTCACCACGGGAATTGTCCTTTGGCACGGAAAGCTTCAACATGAAACCCAATGTTCCGCAACCACAGGAGCAAGTGACCTACCCTTCAGAAAAATCGGCAAAGTTAACACAATCGTGAGCCTCGAGCCAGCCCTCCAAATGGGATATGATTCACCCATTGTGAGTGGTCGCCGTGTCCTTGGAAATTAGGTGTTGATTTGTGTGTGTGTGTGCGTGTGTTGTTTTATTTAGTTGCAGCCTCGCCTGAAATGAGGACGCTAGCCACGCAAAAGCTCTAAGTGCGTACAAGCTCAAAACGGGTGCCGTGGAATGGAGGAAGATCAAGGAAACTGTTTCAGGGGACACTGGATTTCCCCTTCACAAGTTCATCCACGTGGTTCCCGTTGCCGCTTTTGAAGGCCCAAAAGGAGGGATCCGGAGTGATCCCTGCGCAACAGCTTAACAAACGGCGTGCAACCGCCCACGCGGAAAGAACAAAAAGGTCAGCCATATCGTCCGCGAGGGGCTTCTGCATGACCTGCCAGATGTGCTTCTTGAAGCGGCTGGCGGTAAACCTCAAGGCTTGGCACGGGCCCCGTTAGCCATGGATTCGAACAGCCGAAGGGTGCGACGGAATTTCAGGGTGTGCTTGGCCATGTTCTCAACGGGCTGGTAAAATAGTGCTCCTTTTCTTCAACTCTTTCCTGGAAAGGGGGGGGCCTGAACACAAACCCACACCGGCGCCAAACCGCCGTTGTGACCAACCGATAAAGACGGTTTCTGCGCTGAAAAGAGCACCGCTTGGTGGTTAAGTGTGTGTGTGTGTTTGCCTTCCAGACACGGACGTCATGTTTTGAGGTGAGGTTTGGCCTTCCAAAATGTGGCACGTTTTAAGAGCTTTAAAGGGAGACCGCAAGAAACCACGCTTGTGACTTCCCCCAGTTCAAGGCAGACCCAAAAACCTGGAGCCCTTCCTCAAAAAAATGAACGAATCAAAGCCAGCAAGGCCCAGGCATCTGCGCTGCGGTCTTTCTCTGCACCAACCAGGTCTCACCGTCCGCCTCGGGAAATCCGTGGCTCAAACGAATCCGTCTCGCGGAAGGAGGCATGGGAAAAGCGCCCTGGCCCAGACACCACTTGCGGCCCTGGGGGGCCATGGGCCCACAAGCCCGCCCTCTCGCGGCAAAACAACAAGACGCTTGACAAGTAGAACCAGTTGGCAAGGGGAAATAGTGGCCAAGCCGAGTAACTTTTGGTTGTTTGATCTTGTTTGTGGATTGCCCCGTTTTGTGAGCAATGCTTGTGATTGAATGGGAGCCAAAAGGAAACACCGATTTTTAGTGGTCAAGTCAAATCATTCCCTGCAACCCCCGGAGCCTCCCCAGAAACCTGTCCTATCTTAGTGTAGTCATCGCTTTAGGGCGAGGTGGGATTTGGAAACTGGGAGTTGGAAACCAGAAACGGGAGTTGGAAACTCTGCGCGGCAGTATCTGTCCTAACGAGAGTTGGAAACTGCTGTGGCAAGAGCTGGAAACCGATGACACGCGTGTTGTAAGCTGTCGCCCTGGGGCGCGGGAAGGAAAAGCAGGAAGAGGCGGAACAAAAGGCAAAGAAGGGAGAGTAGAAACCGAAGCAAGAGAAGGAACAGAAGGCAGGCAAAAGAAGAACCAGCGCAGCCGTGCACCACAGGGAGCACTGGTGCGCAACGCTGATTTGACACCTGGGTCCCCACAGGACGGCAAGGCTACCAAAGAGGCACAAATGGCAAACTCGCAAGGGCACGAAAGGGTTCACGCATGAACGTGAATACTGTGAAACCTTCCCAACCCTCACGAGGCCGGCCCTGAAGGCCGGCAGGCCGCTGAATCCTTTTCCAATTTGAGCACGCGGATGGATCCAGAATTTGGAGCATTGGCCGGCTAGAAAAAGCTCGAGGTTATTAACCCCATGACGAAGCAGACCAAATGTATTCAATCATGAAATCTAAAGACCTCATCAGTGCTGCAAGCGAGGTAACTGCTTCCAACTCATTCCCATATAAATCTTTCTAGCCGAAACTGGATTGACATCCACCGTGTCTACGGCCAGCCTGTTCACTTCTCTGAGAAGGCGGAACCTTTAGGAAGCCCTGGCCCGTGTGACGCTGCAGTGGAACGTGAGAACTTGCATTTTCCACGTTTTGGTGTCACATGTGAGGAGAAGTTGGAAAGCAATGCGAAGGCACGCTCTGCGGAAGTTCCACCCCAAGTAGAAGCCTTTTCAGTGACACAAGTCCTTGCGCCACAGCCACACGCCATCTACAAGTCAAAGCTCTGACGGCCGGCGACTCAGCATCTTGCCAGCCTGCGCAAATGCAGAGCGCAGACGGCGACATTCTTGCACTGATGGGCAAGATGTTTCATAGGGACACCGCTGAAAGCCAACAGAAGGAAAGCGCGCCTTCTTCGGCTTTGGCAGCATGCCAGCATTAGAAACAGCAGCGCGTAGCAGCGCTTTGATGCTGTAGCGCGACCTTGCTTGCCTCCAGCGATGAGATGTCTTCTGTCTCAATCGCCTGAGCTGAAGAGTGCGCCCCCCTATTTGGAGCACGTAGAAGTCGTACGCGGTCCCCTCAGCCTGCCCCCAGACCTGCTCCTTGAACTCCTCATCCACCTCAGCCCTGCGCCACGCCTCGGCCAAGCTCATCACGTGGCGCTCCCTTTTCAACCTCTCAACGGCAAGCGTGCGCCATGCACAGCTTCCGGCATTTTGCGCTCCCCCGTCTTTGTGTGGCGGCCCCAAGGCTGAGAGAGGCTGCTGTGCCCACATAGCACGCAAATTCCGGTCTCGTGGCGGCGAGGCGCCCTTGTTATGGCCCGTCATGTCCCGTGCTGTAGCTGCTGTGCCGTAAAGCCTTGTTGTGGTGGCCGCCTGTGGTGCTGTCATGTGTGGCTGGACAAAAGCTGCCCGTGGTGTTCATCCGGTGTCCCGTCATGCCTGTGGTGCGGTCCCCGTGCCCGTGGTGTGTGGTCTCCGTGCTGGGGCGTGGTGTGGGCTGTGGCGTGGTGTAGTCCCGGTGCTGTGAATTCGTGGTGTGGTTGTTGTGGTGTTCATGGCGTGGCTCGTGGCTGTGAACTGCCCATGCTCTAATGACGTGGGTTCGTGCTGTGACACTAGCGGGCAGTTGTGGACAACGTTGCACCTAAACCAACTCAGCCTCGTGGCTGTAGAATAACTTTCGAGTGGCCCAAAACGGAAACTCGTCTAGCAGGCAACCAAGTTGGCTAACAACAAAACAGGGAGTATACGAGCAAACGGCCAAACAAGCTAGCCAGCAAGCCTGCAACGAGACCAGCCACAGCAACACACAACGCAATGCCAAGCAAAGATCAACCCTGCTAGCCGCGCAAGGACACTAGAGGCTACAAAAACGGCACGGAGCGCAACAGGCTGAGCGGCTCCTCGTACTCACCCACCTTCTTGCGCTTAGCGCCCTTGCCTTCACGCGCCTGCCGCACGCAAAACGCCTAAAACGGCACGGCGCGCTGCAGGCTGAGCGGCCCCTTCACATTCTGGCGCTTAGTGCCCGTGCCTCCACGCACCTTCGATTTGGAACTCAGTACACAACGCAACGCCAAGCAAAAATCAACCCTGCTAGCCGCGTAAGGACACTAGAAGCTAAACAACAAGCCTAAACCAACCTCCAAACCAAACCTAAACCAACCCTAAACCACGAACCACAGCCCAAAAAACAACCCTAAACCAACCTCCAAACCAAACCTAACCAACCCTAAACCAACCCTAAACCACGAACCACAGCCCAAAAAACTACCCTAAACCAACCTCCAAACCAAACCTAATCAACCCTAAACCAACCCTAAACCACGAACCACAGCCCAAAAACAAGGTCACGGCGTTGCTAATGACCACGCTGCTTTTGACCATGGCGACCAAGCACGTTTACCAAAATTCCTGCGTTTTATGAACATTTCGTTGCATCGTTGACACGCACCATGTTTATTGTGTTCCATTTTTACCATGGCTTTGACAAGAAAGGGCCAAATCGCCTGAGAATAGCAGCACTTCGCGCTGCTGGCCAACACACGCGCGTTTCTTGAGGCTGCCGGCCTCTTTTTTTTCAAGGCAACTTCTCAAAGCTTAAGTGGTAGACAAAGGATCTAAGATGGCCAGGCGAGATATCGTCTTCGTCGGCAGACATGGCAAGCTCGCCACACTGGCTTGAGGATGGTGCAGAAGTGAAGTTGATGACCAACAAACGTCGGGATAGAACAAAACAGGCAGCACGCAAAGCCGGGGTAAGCGGGGAGCGGGCGCGCGAGAGCGTCAGCCAGGCAGCGCGAAGACTCGGCAGTGCAGCAGGTAACCGACACCAGGACAAAGGGCTTCGAGCAAATATCGCACAAACAGATGCCGCAAAATGCGCGAAAGGATCAGACGAACTACCAGCGAAAACTTCAAAGTGAGCGTCCAACAAGAACGGATCACACGTCCAAAATGCCTGGAACCACGAGTCAACAATGGGGCAGGTTGCACACGCGACACGCAGCAGCAGAACGTACGCAACACAAAGAGCGAGAACAAAATGATGACCCATGGTCCTGGAGCCAAAGGTTGGGCCAGTGAATGCCTCAGGGGTGAAAGACGCAGTTGAGCGGGTGTGCTTATCATGCCCCCTCCCCAACCTTTCCCCCCAGAACCATGTTATTTTGTAATCCGGTAAAAGAGCAGGCTGGTCTGCAGCAGTTGAGCGGGTGTGCTTATCATACCCCCCCACCCACCCTCCCCCCCCGCCCACCCATCCCCCCCCCCGAACCATGATGCATGAACGCAGGGATGAACGTCCAAAAAACAAAGAACTCCACGGGGTCGTTAAGGACGCCGTGAGCAAAAAGAACCCTAAACCAACCTCCAAACCAAACCTAAACCACACTAAACCAACCCTAAACCACCCCTAAACCACTCTTGGCTCTAAACAAACCCACCGGTTTCCAACTCCAGCCATAAGAGTTCCGACTCCAGCCGATCTGGTATCCAACTCCGGGCAGGACAGTTTCCAACTCCCGCCCCACCAGTTTCCGACTCCCGAGTACCCGACTCCCACCGGTGGTTTCCAACTCCTAGTTTCCCGGAATCTGGGGGATTGCCCCATCCACTTTCACCCTGCTGTACCCCTCTTCAGCTACCACCGAACGGGGCCAAACGGCTGACTCGGTTTTTTTTTCTCGGGTTTCCGGGCGTTGAAGATGCCGTTGCCCAACATCTCGTGGGCGATGTTGTTGAAGATCTCGCCTCTTTGGTGGTTCCCCCAAAGGGTGACCGTGATGGCACGCATTCACTCATACCCGGAAGTTAGCGAGACCGAGAGCTGCAAATGCGGGAGGCCAAATTTAGGGATTGTTTTTAGTGGAAACCACCAATAGGGGACTGCCAGTTTGGTGGTGCTTCAAGTGAAGCCAAAAGGAAGCCACTTTTTGCGGGCTTGTTCTGGTGAAAACACCCTTTTGAAGGAAAGCAAAATGAAAACCGGCAGCCCGTTTCGGCCCGAATTTTCAGACATCCCTTGTTTTTGCGGTGCCGCGAAAGAGCTGACATGTCACGCGTGTTTTCCAGTTATGAGCGTGTCCCTTTCAGAGCAAAATGAGAAATAAACAAATCACCGTAAGCCGATGGAAACAACCAATGTCGAAGAGAGATAAGAGAGGTGAGCGACACTATCTGGACCAGTTGCATGTTCAACGGATGTTCAATGGCTATCTACCCTTAAAGATCCATGTCAATAGAAACTCCAATGGTTGTTCATGGAAGCTGCCCTACCACCCCCCCTTTGTATCAAACATGGGTTTGATTGCCATTGCCCTGCCCTTTCTGGAAAACCGAAGAGATGCAAGCAAACACATCAGATTATAAGTTGTGCCAGGGTTGGGTTTTCGTTTGACCTTGGCTTATGTTCAACCTGGATGTATTTAGAAAACCTCCATGTCTTCTTTCTAACCTGGGAAGCGCCCGATTGATCAAAGTCAAAAGCCTTTTCCTTTTAAGACTGCAAAACCTCCAGCTTGAGCCCCGCATGATGGCTGATATGTTAAATGGCGTGTGGGCAACAATGGGTACACTGTCAAGGCGACAACTATGGAAAGAAACCATTGTTGCTGGCGGCGGCGGCCAACCAGCAAACACGTGCAAGAGACAAACTGCACACACACACGCACACAAAGACACATTCGCACACCAACAAACTCGTGCGCACACAGACACCGTGCCACGCTTGCCCGTCCTTGTCAGGGCTCCTAAATGGACCTGGGAACGGGCTGAAATTTGATCGATCCGAAATGCCCGAACCCTAAAAGCCTAAAAAACCTACGGAACCGGATGCCTGGGAACCACCCGGCAACTAAACAACCCCCCAAGGTCTCTTTTTGCTAAGACGCCTTTGGGGTAGTTGTCAAAGTTCTTCTTCAGCATGTGCTCCACGTTGCGCGGGTCACGTGTGAGAATCAGCGGGTTCACAAAATACCTCAGAATACCTCGGCCGGCAAGGGGCAAAGACTTGAAACACCTATAAATAAGGGAGCCCAGAAACGGTAGAGCCATTTAACCAGCAACTCCATTGTCAAACTCCACCCAATCACTCCTCCGGTCGCGCTCCTAAAACAAAGGTGGACGCCTCGTTGCAACTCAAGTGCCGAGGCGAGGTTCACGACCACCACAACTCGCATCTGTTTAGAAAACATGGTCCACTTCAGCGCCCTTCAACTGTCATCAGGTACCACAGTTCAACAACAAAATGCCCACTTTCCGGCGATCCTTGCTCATCAAGTTTCGAACATGAAGGCGTGCGTGTCTGCGGCACATGAAACGCCACGTTTGTAAACCAGGATTTCCATTGGCCCTTGTTCCCCTCATGTTTGCCGCCAGGGAAGGCGCCCATAGTTTGCTTTAGCGACTGACTCGGAAGGTGCTAATTGAGGGTGCTTGGTCGGAAGGCTGATTCAGGATATGCGTGAATGTCTGGAGTGAGGCAGGGTCGGCTTGTGACCTGGCACGGGCCTCTGGGATAGGGTTTCTATAGGGCACGTGGGTCAAGGCATCAGCGTATTTACGGGCCCAGCCGGAGGATTGCCGGAAGACGGCCAGGAACTGTATGCTTGACTGGCTGCCTCCCCCCCCCTCTCCTGCACAGGGTGCTAGTTAGTACGCACGCAGCGGCTCCTGAAAGGAGCGGGACCAAAACATGACCAAAAAAGGACTAAGAATGACTAAATATGAGCCGTAGCAGCTGAAAGATTGCAGACCCCACTGGCCAGGGGATATGTCGAGAGGGACCAAAGTGGGACCTGCAATGCGGGTTTTACTCAGCCGCGACGGCCGGCTGGCCGAGTTGCTGGCAACCAAAACTCAAATTTGGTCTCTCACTTTGGGGGTTCGAATTGCAGGAGGCCGCAGCATCCAGTAGCGGCCGAGGTCTACCCAAAACCCCTGGAAACAATCAACAGGCCGGAAAAGCTGGCTGCTGGGGATTGTCCGAGGCGCCGAAATGCAGGTAAACGGTGGTGCCCTTCTCGTCATGGATCTCTTTGAGGTCTTGCAGGAAGGTATAGTTCGCGACTGCCCGCGCCAAACGCGGCCTCCGTAACCCATAGAGAGACAGCTCTGCATACTTTCCTCAATCTGTCTGCAGTGAATGCTGGTCATGGTTCAAATACGCCGGCAAATCAACCACCAGGCCCATGAAAGTGACAATCTCCATGTCAGCCTTCAGAAGGTGATTCAAGTGTCACAGGTGGTTTTGAGCACCTTCGAACATGCCGCACGGTGGTTCAGAACTAAGCATGCAATGCAAAGCCGGTTGTCTAAGTGTTCATTCTGCGGGCCAGACCCACAAACAGGTCATCATGCGCAACAGGTCAGCCCATGGCTGAATTCTGCCCACTTTGGCAAGCCTGATGACAAGGGGAACGAAAACTGTGAAAGTGGGCCCTTACAAAGCTTCCAGAAGGCACAGCGCGATCTGAAAACACATGAGGGCTTTGCGCTTTGCGCCTACACAAAGTTCCATCTCCATCCGGGAACACATCCGGACTTGAAGAGGGTACCAGAGTTTCGGATCGAGATTTGCCTTGAGACTCTCCTAAGCTTGACTAGGTGCTCCAGATTTGAGAGGGTGGAATAAGGGTACCCGACTTTTTGTCTGTAGTTTATTTTGGTAGGGGAGCCCTGCCCCAACAAAGAAACGGCAAAAGGGCACCTAGCTGGGGGACCTAGTTAAGATTCTGTGAGGAGACCCCTGCAAAGACCAGGCTTTCCCAAATCGACAGGCTGCCAGGGGGGAGAAAGAATCGGCTTTGGCCTGAGTTTCTGGGGTCCGTTTTTGGTTTGGGGGCTTAGCAAGCACTGGAGTACTGGAGCACTGGAGCACCATGCCAGACTTTTTGCTTTGCGCCATCTGCATCCCCAAACCCAAAGGAAGCACCCCCCCACTGCCGCTCAGAATAGCTCGCAGGCAGACGGAACATTCCCCAAAATGCACCAAGTCAGATGCATGGCTATAACTCACCAATCTACATCAAGGAATCTCGCACGAGACCCTCATCGGAGCGGCCCCCAAACCCGAGAAGGTGCTCGAGTGTCGCTTCGGTCGGGGCCAAAGGAGAGCTCCAACTCTGATATCGTTTCCTTCTTACCCGGGAAGAAGCTTGAAACGCCTGGCTGAACAGAATGATGGTTGGAAAGACTGGGGATCGAGTTACTACCCTCCGGTCCATTCTCCTGGAACCTGACAGAGGGGCCCTGGAAGATCATCTTCCTTTACAATGGACCTCTGATGAGTTCCATGTTGCTGGAGCAACTTGAATTCTTCCAAAAGACTTACAAAGCCCGCAGCCATGGTGAAAACTCGCTCGTGGGCCATGCCCCTAAGACCAACCACCTTCTTGGACGCCGTGGTTTTGTTGGCAAGGCGCAGAATGCCGAGGATGCCCTCCTCTGCACCCACCTGGCAAGCTGAAAACCACCCAAACCTCGTGGCTTCCGCAAGTTGACCCGAGAGCGAATGCAAGGAAGCTCTCCCGAGCAGGGCTCCGTGGAGTGCCCAAAAAAGTTGTTGACAAATGCCACAAAAAAAACTCCTCAGACCGAAATCGGGGAAATCAAAAGACAACTCTTTTTGTGGGGAGCTCGGTTGCGGTCTGTCCGAAAGCTGAGAAAACACCTGGGGCACAAACACCTAGTGGGCCCACCTGAAAGTTTCTTTTGCTTTGCTTGATGTCCTGAAGCCGGGGGCGTGGGCGTGGGCTGTATTTTTTGGGAGGCAGAGGCGCTTTCGCCAACCAAAGAGTCGGCAGAGGGCCACCGGGACTTCATGTCACCTTTGATCTGAGGCTGAACACGCAGCGCTGCCAAAGAGGGGTCCTTAACAAAATCGAACCCAACACCTCAACCCCACAGGGGGCAACTCACCGTTGCCATTTCAGGTGTTTAACAATAGCCTTACCCAAAGAAAGGGCGCCTTTCTCAATGCAAATAAACCACTTGTGGCATGGTCAACAGGGCTTCCGTCGTAATCAATTCTCTTCCGGTCACATGCCGGGGGTCACCGGATTACTCTCTTGGCCGGATCGAAGTTGCCCCGGCCCGTTGTTGTGAAATTCCGTGGCGGTTGAGTTGGAAAAGCCGATGAGCGGTCGGCCAATGCTCGCCTTCTGCTACCTATTTCTGCCTGTTTGTGTCACGTAACTGTGCATCATATATTTCCCCTTTACACCTCACCACGAAGCTCACTTCAAATTGGCCGAAGAGGTGAAGGTCATGCAAAAACATGGGGACCACTGTGTCAAGGACTACACAGCTGTGTCTTTTGTTTATGGTACACTTTTCTCGCATTGCTTGGCAGGAACACGATCATGTGACACTCTTGTGCGCCTTGACCCTGAATCTTTGTGGAATTAGAGCAAATTTATCACAAACTGGACATTTCGCGTGCCGAATCAAATGCTCACCGCAAGGCCTGGGTGATGGTCTTGGGAGGCTTCTGCATATACCTCACTCGCTCAGGCGTGCGGATGAATAAGGGCGTGTTTCCCCTTCCTCCAGAATGGCACGCCCCTCCTATCGTGAACCGATCAAGGGCTTATTCATCCTGAGTCCCCATTAAGAGGATCATCCTTGTCTAAGGGGCCAGACAGAGAATTTATTTTACGGAAGCTAGTCCGAGCGCTTATTCTTGGTGGGCACTTGGCGCAGTGCTTGTAGATTGAATACTCACTTCATCAGTGGACTGGCAAAAAAAAGTCTGAACTTTCCATTTACCACCAAAATGGTCTTCCCAAACAGTTTAAAGTCCGGGAACTCAGGAAGTGAGAATAGCTGGCTTCTTGGAACCGGGGTCATTATTTCGACGGTTTCTGGTTATCAAAGTCAGAACATGGGGTTATTTCCCTTTAACCCACCACTTAGGGGGTGACTTTGATCATGGCAAAATAATGAAGCCAGCGGAATCTGGGGCCAGAATCACAGCGATATGTTTAAGAAAAGACTAGCTAACTACTCACCCACTCACTTCCTTACTGGATTGCGTCTTGCGCCTGCTCCTGTGTTGACATCATGATTTCCAATTGCCTAGTGGCAGCAAAAATGGAACCCTTCGTGAGGTTGACGATGTGGGGACTCCGGACCGGAAACCGCATCCGGACATCACCCAGACACCAGTGCATTTGTGTGGGGGATCCCTTCCCCCTTCCCGCGCAGAAAAGGACAACAACAAGAAGCAACCCACTGGGGTTTTAGGCCGTTCGGGGTGCAAAACATCGTCCCCTTTGGGTGATGGCTGGCAGACCCTAATTCCAGGAAACCATGAACTCAACGAGCAAACAGCTGGCCAGCGAAGCCAACATTCGCGGAATCTCACCCTGTGCCCTCCAAGAAAATGACCGGAGAACCCCCGTGTTTGGGCCCTGAAGGTAACATTCCCATGTCCCTCAGTGTGGCATGATTGAATTATCAAAGCCAGATCACAAGACAACCGCTTGCGATGACCACCGGTGAAGATATAAAGGAAAAGCAGCCCAACAAGAAGCCAAAGTTTTGATCAAGTCACGAAACGTAGGCAGCCAACACTAAATATCGAAGCAGGCTCTGAAACCAACCAAAAGAAAAAACAGAAAAAGGACAAGCAGTGAGAGACAAACAGAAAGAATGTAACAAACAACAAAAGCTGGGCCCCCCACAATTTCAAAAAACCCGAAAACTCCAAAATTGAAAGCTGGAGACCCCATGAAATCAAACTCACTCAGCGTCCCAAAACTGAATGTGAAATTCCCAAGCTGGAAAACATCAGGCACTAGAATCTTGTCACTAGAAAGGGAAGGCACCAACAGTTGAAGACCAACAGTTCATGAAATCTTGGAAACCAAACAACGAAAGGAAGCAGCCAAAAGAAAACCAAAATAAAAACGCACAATAGAACCCCCACAACAGGAAACTCTTCAGACAAACAACATTCGCCCCAAAGCTGGAAACCCAAACGAAAGCAACTGGAACCCTCTAACGCGAAACACTGCTGAAGTTACAACGAAGCTGGGCCCCCTTGTTGAAATGGCAACACGGCCAACAGAGTCTGGCAACCCCTGTCAAAGGCGAAGCAAACACGGAACCCAGCGGCCAATTGACAAACACAACTCCCAAAAAACCATTAGAGCCCGGGACATTTCTTCCTAAACAAGGAACCCCCCCAAACTGGGAACCAAACTGGGAACCAAACTAAAGCCCAACAAAAACTGTGTGGGAAAAACAAAATGCCGACCCCTGCCTGCCTCCAATGACTTCCGTGTTCAAAACCGACTGGCAGCCCCACAGACCCTTTTCTCGCCTGGGAAGAACTGGCAATTCATGGGTTTCCCTTGCCCCAAGCTGGACAAAGCATCCGGCCGCGGCGCTGCACCAGCGCCGCCGCGCTGACCAGCGCCGCCCCGGCCACCACGGCGGCGCGGCTCAGATCCGGCAGCGCCACGGGGCGGCTGAGAGCCATGGCGCGAGGCGCGCTGAGGCGCGCGGCGCGAGGCTCAGCGGGGGAAAGGGGGGGGGGGAGGGGGCGGGCCGAGCGCGAAACGAGACCTGGAGCCGAAAGGAGAGGAACTCGACTCCTTTGCTCATAGAGTAAAAAGTGGAAATTTGGGGTGGAGGGCAAATACAGGAAATCAAGGCGATGTTCTACCCTTGCGGTTTGATCATTTGTTAGAGGCTCGGAGTAACCATGTTTAACACCTTTGGTTGTTTTTAGCGAAAACCATGACAGAGATGCCAAAGAATGGGTTTGGGGGACCTGATTAAGCCAACAACACACGGCGATGTTGGTGACAAGACCTCACTTTGTTCCTAACCGGACGAGACATCATGCGCCTCTTGCTTGGGTACATGCGAGCGGTCCACCATGGTTTTCCGGCTGACAAAATCTTTATCAGCAGTTCAAAGTTGAAATGCCACTGTGAATCATAAGACCCATGGACATGGGATCGCTCCGCGCAAAACATTCCCCGCGCCTTTAGGTGCGGACCAGAGTGGACGTAAAGATGTCATTCACTTACTCACTTCCTGAGTGTGCTGGCCACCAATTCACATATTCACGTGGAACCTGGCGTCCGGGGCCTGGGTCCCTTTCAAAGGAAGATGGTCCAAACCCGGTCCAAAAGTGACTAAAGTCCAGTTGAATTCAGGTAATGTTGATCCCCTTTTCATCAACCCCAAGTTATTACTGGGGTTCCCCTCCAAAAGTGATAAGTCCCTACACCCAGGCAAAAAGAGCACCCTATGAACAAACTGGGGTTGATTCATATGGAGTCAACATCGGTTCCGGGGTTCCGGCCCCTTCCGCTCAGCCTTTTCTGGGGGGGAAAAAACGAGGACATAGCGTCCAGATCGACTCCCTTTAAAACCGAAAAGGGGAAAATGAGAAAAACATGCTCCTTTCAGCAAAAAAAAGCTTGAAGCAAACATGTTGACTTCTCAAAATACATGGTGTTTTCCTTTTTGGGCTTGGTGTGTCGCTTTGAACTCCCAATTTCAGGGTGAAATTGTGTGCAAATGTCCCAGAGAGATCCAGATCTGTGCCGAGCTGCTGAATCTTGAAGAGGGCCTGGCGACAGACCGGCTCATAGAGAAAGAGATCAAAACGACTTCAACTTGCACAAAAGCCCTAGGTCCTCCAGATTTGAGAGGTTAGGCTAAGGGTACCCGATTTTTTGCTGTTCATTTTGGTAGGGGAACCCTCCCAACCAAAAAAGAAAGGGTTAGAAAGGGCACTACTGGGGGACCTAGAAGAAGTGAGTACTTGGCGGATTGCTCCTTTTTGTGAGGCCAGCCCGGTTGTTTCTCGGCTTGAAAGGGAATCTCCAGGGAAGGACTTGATTCGAGTTCTTTCAACTTGTGGCCTCGTGCCTCGCAAGGGAGACATGATGAATCGACGACTCCCTCGGAAACCGTCCATGTCTCGACTCATCCCGAAGAAATCCATGTCTTTGATCTAGAGAAGATCGAGTGAGACGGGGTTTTCTTGCAAAGGCCATCCCAAACCATAGGGCACCCCGAATGAAAAAAAGGGAACGCCGGTTTCACCTGGACAGACACCAGCCTCGTTTCATGGCAACACAACCTCTCCTCCAAACATATCGAAGTGGAAAGGGGGCCAGTCCACTGGAGACTTCCAAAAGCAAAGCTGTCAGCTTGCATAATCGAAGAGCGTAGTTCATTTTAGAGCTTTTCCAAGTGTTCAATCATGGAAGGTACTGCTGACGTGTTGATTTACTCTTATGGAAGGTGCCACTGACCTGCTTCAATTTACATCATAATCCTCACTGGACAAAAGGACCTGGAAATAAATGGCGACTTGGATTGAAGATCCACCAAACTCACCAAACTCAAGCCCAAGGGTCTTGAGGTCGTAAGGATCAACTCAAGGGGGTGGTAAAAAAAAGGAACGCCATTGAACGGGGCCTTATACACACCCCAACAGGGAACTAGCGTAAGCCCAGAGCAGATGCTGAAAAAACGCCAAGGCAAATCTGGTTGGAATCTTTTGGGAATGCCAGGGAAAGGAACAGTGTGGATCAACACGCGCCAGAAGAACAAACCGTGGGAGGAAACAAAAAAGCCCAACAAGCAGTTGTATCTACATGGGTGTGGATCAATATTAAATCACCAGGGGACCGCAGGATTTTAGTCCATGTTTCCATTTACCAGGGTTGCATTTTGGGTACCTATTTTTGACCCGCAGCCACATCCTGCAAACAAATCATGAATAATTGCTCGCACAGCTAAACCAGGCAGCCCATAACCCGGAAAAAAATGCTTGATTCTTGGACCAGCACGTGCAAAACCAGCTCCATGTCACGCCTAGCCCAAGCACTTAAGCACTTGAGCCCCCAAGCATCCGCCCGACACCCGGGAACCCGGACGTTTTCATCACCGTTCGAAGCTAGGTACCACAACGGCGGAGGTTTCGTCCGCTGGCGAAAGGCGAAAGAGCAATGCCCTCTTCGAGGGAGTTGCATCAGTCTGCTGGTGTCTGGCCCAGCTTGGGAGCTCTAGGCCCTCCAGATTTGAGAGGTTGGAAAAAGGGTACCCGATGATTTTTGTTTGTAGTGTATTTTAGTCGAGGAAACCAAAAAAGGGGGTGAGAAAGGGCACTACTGGGGGACCTAGCTAGTTAGCGCAGGAACTGCCACTTTTCGAAGGGCCAACAAGCAAACAATCTCAGTGTTCTGGGTGAATTGGTCAAAAAGGACGCGCTAGTCCAACAGACATTTGTTGACTAACGGCTCCTTCGGGAGCCACGGAGCTTCGCAAGAAGTCAAGGGCCTATCACGGTTCAAGCGATTTGCGCGACTTGCGCGAGATGCATGAGCTTCGCAAACAAAGCCCTAAAGGACGTCATTGATTGACATGCCCAGCGCGGGCTTGATCTTGCAACAATTATGAAGGCGGGAAAGACAGGAAGGTTCCCAGAAGGAAAGCGTGCTTTTTCATGGCTGTCTCTTTCTGCCCACAGGAAGAAACCATTTCCGTGGAACCAAACTCAATGTGATCCTGGCTCTGTGGAATGACGGATCACTACGCATCATTTCCGTAGAAATTGTTAAAGGGCTCTTGTTCATGATGTGAACCTGGCAACCATGTTCCGTCCCAAACGGGGGGTAATCACTCTTCCGTTCGGCCCCCAATGACCATGGATATTTTTTCCATAGGAAACATGGGGCTCTAGATCGACCTAACGAGTTCTACTCCCTGGATATCCTCGTCTCCAGTTTCATTCGGCAAGAGACCAGACGCTCTCACGGCTCCGAGGACTGGGGCCTCGGAGCCGTGTTCCAGTTTCAATCCGCCTGCTCCGACGGCCCCGGAGACACGGAGGCACGCGCGCCCATCTGGTTCCGTGTCTTGAAACGTATCCACAAGAACAAGAAGGGGTTGGGACATAAGTTGAGGGCGCAAAGGACTGATCATGGGAAACAATGACAGCCCCACAAACCCTGGGCGCATTGACCGGTCGTCAATGGTTGCCAAATTTGTGCTGCCCGCTCTGTGCTACCAGGGACTGCCTGCTGTGACTGCAAAAAGAATAGCTGAATCCTATGATTCCCGTGGCTGTCAAGTCTGAATGGGGGGCCTTCTCCGTTGCCGGTGGCCTTAGACCCAGTGAGTTCCTTGTGAAAGCCCTTTTCAGGCGGCTCCGGACCTCAAACAAACATCTTGACTCTTGACGCTTGGGATCGAAAGCATGACCGATTTGCAGCTGTTGAACGCGTACACTCTGCTTGACTTTGATAGCTTGCCGGCCAGCTATGGCAAAGAGGAAACGGGCACGAGTATGTCGTACGTAACATGGAAGCTAGTTTAAATGTGTTTCATGTGTTGGGGTCAACGCACAGGATTGCCATGCCCAATGACTTAGTTTCTGTCGTGCACTGAGGGAGGAGTATTCCACAAGGAACAATGAATGAAACCAGTACACTGCTGCTACTGCTGCTACCTACTCCTCCTCCTTCTCCTGCGACTAGGAATTCTAACGCTAGTACTATTGCTACTCCTACTACACTGCTGCTACTACTACTACTACTACTACCACTACGACTACCACTACCACTACCACTGCTATTACTACTGCTACTGCCATTCCGGGGAAACTCATCAGAGGCACTCCGTCGATTGCAGGCGGATCTCGCGGCCCACGGTCAATCCGACACGCGACACCTCCCGCCGAACGCAAGGAGGGCCCCTGAATGTTGCTGGGCTGTTCGCTAATCCCAATCCATAATCCCTATTGTACATCCACCACAAAGGCAAGGATCAGGGATTGACTTTGAACGGCCCAGTCTCGAAACGTCGCCTTCTTTGCGGGGTCTCACCGTGTTTCCCTTTCCTTTTGCCGGAAAAAATGGCCGTGGCCATCGCGAAAGGCCAGTGGGCCTCCAGCCGTTGGCTTAGCTCCACTCGGTGCTGGGCCCATGATGCGGCCCACCAAGTGGTGATTGAACAATCCTAGCAATTGCTACCTTCCCACCAGCAAACATGGGTTTGGTGCACAGACCCCTGTAGAAAGACTACTTTCCTCTTGGGAAGGGCCTTGTTGCACTTCCATTTTAGCTAAGAGTCGCCACTAGTTGCTAAAAAATACCAGTCGTTACCAGCCTTCAGTTGCCGCCAGTTCTTGCCAGTTGCCAGCTCCCAACTGTCGCTCTCTCTCTCTCTCTCTCTCTTTCGCTATCTTCCTCTTCTCGCTTTCTGTGTGTTATTCCCCAGTGCTTGTTGTTTTCTGGCTTTTCTCAGCTTTTTTGCGCAGTCATATTGTAAAAAGAAACAGACTCAAGTAGTTCTAGTATGGAAGTTCTGGTCAAACATCCTTTGACCAGTCACCAGTTGCTACCACTTGTGACCATTTGCTATCAGTTGCTACCACTTGTTGCCACTTGTTACCAGCTGTTGCCAGTTATTACCAGTTGTTTCCAGCTACAAGTATCAGCAGTTGTCAGTTGCTACCCCAACTGAATGAAAAAAAAACTTTACCACGAGTTTTTGTTGGGGTTCTCAACCAAACTCTGCTGTCTTTCTACAAAGATCATGGGCCCAGTAGAGGTCGGCGAGCTCCACTCCTCGACCCAAAAGCCAGCAAGCCGGCCAGCCGCCCGGGTCTGCCAAGAATTCCACGCCTTTTGAATTCGAAACGAGCGGTGCCGCGCTTCGCAAACCGACACCTTGGTTGCTGTTGACCCCTCTGCAAAGAAGTGAATCACTCGTTGTGGGTACAACTGAAAACCCGCTGTTTCCAAACAAAACATGAAGCGGAAGATCCAACCAATTAGCCGTACAGATACAATGCATCCGAGGCATGACCAAATGGCCTCTTTGAGGCCTCGACCATAGCACCCTTTCCAAAACGGAACAGGTGCCCCATACCCGGCGGGCATCTCCGCAAGCCTAAAACTGGAGAAGCTGGAAGAGCGGGGAAAGACCAGTGGAGCGAGGAGAGCAAAAGAGAAAAGAGAAACACCATTGGCAAAAGAGTGTAGAGTTGATAACAGAATAGGGAGACTGAGAAACCCAAAGGAATGGGAAACAAGCTGAGAGAAGAGCGCGGAGAGAAGAGCCGTGAAAAGCTTTTTTGGGGAACTGGATCCATCTCAATCCATTACTCGCAAAAGGTGCTTTGCTGTCCGTGTGTCTATAGGCTATGGGAAGCTTTCATGAAACCCACCAGATTGGTATCCTTAGGATCCGCTGGACCCCTCACTATTGTTTTGTTTGGCGAAAAATGGATTCTTGCGCCCTGCGTGGTCCGGCTGCCAGGACACTCACATGAGATTCCTCCGTGAAACGTGACGGTACCATCCACGCAATGGCTTGCTCCAAAGTTCTGGGGCGGGCACTTGGAGGAGGACTGTAGCGGAACCCTCCTAGAGCAGAAATGTATTGCTAAATACTATTCAGCCCCCAGGCGCATATTTCTTAGGGGAACGTAGTTACTAGGAGCGAGTTCCTGTATTTCAAGGGGAGCGGGGTTTGGGTGGAAAGCGAAAAGACAAGCCTGCATCACCCCAGGAAACCCGCCCGCCCTGGACAAACATGGGGCGCATTCTCTCTGCATCTCTCTCTCTCTCTCTCTCTCTCTCTGTGACTCCGCCATGCTATGACAGTGGGAGTTAGCTTCTCTTGCAAACTATACCCTCAACAGTCGCTTTCCCTTTAGATCTACCCAAAGCTGACCCCAACTTGGTGCTCCAGGGTCCGATTCCCAGCCACCACGTCTGGAGCTCCGTCTGCGCGTTCAGGATCCGCGCTGCGTATTTCGCGAACAGATTCCAGGCGATACTAAAAGCCCTGCGCTCTCGCGGAAGACGCCGCGGGGAAGACAGAAAACACTCCCCTGAACCGGAGAAATTACGACGAAACAATAAAGACGGGGCGAGATTCAGGGCACAAAAACCATGTGGAGAGGGCGCAAGGGACCTCGCAAAAGGGTGGAGTTGTTTTTGGTGTCCCTTTCTACTAAGGTGCAAAGGGCACCCGCAAAACAAGACTCACCCACACACTCACACGCACACACGCACACACACACACACACACACACACACACACACACACACACACACACACACACACACACACACACACATTTGGACGCATAATATGTTCCCCAATTTGTCGCGGAAGCCTTTAATGGCTAGCCGTCTGCCTTAGGGTTCAATGTATATCCCCTGACTAAGGAGACTGCTTTTGAAATAGTCCCAAAGGTGATGCGCTTGAGTCAGACACCCAGCCGAAAAATTAAGGACTATGCATGTCCGGGTTGTTCGTTTTCCGCACTTCCTCCCGCTTGTGGGCCGATCCCGAACTCGATAACCCGGCAATCTGTAGGTGGGCTTTCACAATGTGGGATCGGTTTTGGGTGTCATGCGCCGTCTTTAAAGGGGTTAAAGTCACAATGTGACTGGCAGTCGTAAAGGACTACTCCGCATGAGAAACAGATTGCAATAGATTTCCCAACAGGTGTTCAAGCCCCGGAAAAATGACTCCCCTTTATTAGGTTCGTTGTTTGGGGGTTGTCCACGGGTGTTCTTTTGTTCAACTCCCCTTCGAATAATCTGCGGGACCTCCAGGAAGTGCTTTTGCTCAGGGCTGATGTTGGCTTCCGTTTGGTTAGCACAAAGAACTTCCCAACGCTGACACCCCCAGGAAATGTTCCACCCGTTCATAAACTGAATTCTCGCCATATCCCCATCTGAATCAACCCGAAAAATATCAATGCCATTGGACCATCGGCTTCACAATCCAAAAAACACAAAACAAAACACCCTCCCTGAACAAAAAGAGTACGTGAAATCGGAAACCGCCAAACTCTTTTACCCACCAAAAAACAGGCTGGTGGACGCCCTAACCAAACAAACAAAGAAACAAACAAACAAGGCTTCTGGAGCACAAGTAAAACACACGCACACACACACACACACATGTCCATGGATCCATCCTCTAGATGCTCGGCCAAAATGCCGAAGCGGCTCCCGCGGATCCGGTTCTGCGTGCATGCATGTCATTCGCGAATCCGAGAATTCCACCTGACAATCCATCCGCGAAGTCTCGAGCCGGCCGATACGAAACTGGGGGTTTGGCCCAAAAGCAAGAAAGGCGAAGTTTGACCCTCTCGGTTTCAACTGGATTGGTGTTGTGTCTCTCTTGTTGCTTTTGAAAACATGGTGCTTGTTTTATAACATATGGACATATCTGTATAGTAATATATAAAAAATACTGCCCAGCTCAAGACAAAGTGTTCACATGGGCCTATGTCATTCAACTGATTTGGGCAGCCCGCATCAACAAATCAAGTCACACGAGTTTGTCCGCTAGGGTGTGCCAGACTCATAGGACTCTCTCTTTAGAGCCACGACCCGGGCTGCAGAGGACCAGTCCATGGATCCCCGAAGAGAAAAAAAGCCGCCCTGCCACCGAACCGTCGAAAGGACACCCGCCGGTGTTTCTCCAAACTGGGCGACAAACTCACCCACCTGAAAAGTTGGTTGGGGTGTCCAGAAAGGAGCTTCGTGGGTTTCAGGCACGATTGAACCGATGCGTGATTCCCAGGTTGACGGAGGATCCATGCCCGGCTGGGAAGCCGCGTGAGCATCTGCTTTGAGCAGACCTGGGATTCCAGGTTAACCCTGGATTCACCCTGTTCGCAGGCTATTTTTGACAGATCGCCTGCTAAAAGTTTGGCTTTAATGGAAAACCCCAATAAAAACATTAGCAAGCTAAAAAAGCTGAGGAACCGGATGGCTGGGAGCCACCAAGTTGAGTTCTGAAACATGCAGCTTGCACCAGAAACACAAGGAACTGCCTTCGACAGGCCTAGATGCCTTGGCCGAGAACTTTTGGGGTCTCATTTCAACCATCGGAGTCGGAACCCACCTACCCCCCCCCCCTTTCCCCCTCTTTTAGTGTCCAAAGGCAAGGCGTTGCAATGCGACCTAAATATGTTGCAGGAAATGTAGGAAGCTTGCCTCTGGGCGTGTTTGTTGAGGCGTACCCTTTAAGAATTCCATTTCGGGCTCCGTGTCCCATCCCTTGGAAGCCTGGAGCACCAAACCCATCCCATGCGCTGCATTCATTGCGCCAGCTCTCGGACTGCGCGGGCCTAGATCCAGCCAGTCGTCTCTTCTCTCTTCTTCCTCAGTTGGATCAAAATCAACCCTGCGAGGCGTTTGCCGTTCTTGGGATTGAAGGGAAACCCGAGAAAACCCGCCCAATTTTGAGAGTCTCCGGTTCCCTTCGCTTCAAACAAAGGCAGCGATGGCTCTGGCATTGCAACTCGCCTTTCCTTACGAAAACGCAGGGCCATGCCATGCAAACTCCTAGTGCCGTCAAAAGGAAAGCAATGCACCAGCCGGGTTCAACACATGCGCATTTGGATTATCCCATCAACAGTCTCCTGCATTGTCAAGATCGATTTAGACATCACTTGTGCAAAATCTCGTCCACTGCTGGATCTCTTGAACACACCAGCGCCCAACCATAGACAAACTGCGTCAGAAATCGTGCTCCAAGACAAAACACTGTAGCCAGATTGGCCGTAGTCATTCTCGTGACTCCTGGTTGCTCAAAATGCAAAGCAGCAGGTGCTTGTTTAGCGCCTGAGGCAACCCTCAAAGAGCACAACTGAAAGCGAGCTCCAACAACAGCTTGAACCGTACACATGAGTGTCCTTTTCTAGGGGACCCCCCAAAATGGTTTTCCTTTTGGTTTCTGTTCAAAGACACCGAAACAGGGGTACCCGCAAACAAGCCACACCCAGTCACACCCACATAATTACGCACAAAGATCATGTGAAGAAGGCCCTGCCCCAAAGCACCTTGGACCTGACATTCGGCGCACAATCGCCAGAGCTGAAATTGGGACGCAGACATAGCACTCGGACGTGCGGTGAGCCGCAAATGCACGAAAAGAAAACAAACCGCATCTCACCCAGATCTAATTGCGCGAAAAAACAACAAGGGAAGAGGGGGTCAAAACTCCACACCCAAATCAGGGTCATTAGACATACCGCCTTTGCTCTTGAACTCAAGGAGTCCCATGGAGTCCAAATTTCAATTTCCATGAAGGCAAGTAAGTGGTTCCTAACCCCCCCTTGGAATCAGGAACCCTTTGAGGTAACGTCAAAGGAGGGCCAAACAGCTCTTCGGGCACATCTTGCAGAGGTCCGAGCCATGTGCCATGTGCCAATGAACCCAGAAAAAAGCTCCGAGACACCCTCATGGCGTCTAAAAGAGACTCAAACGGGATGCCCATGAAGGGGTCCCATCCCGATTCAACTGGCGTGGTAAGCCGACCAAAGGGAATAGCCGGCTACAAAATAGTTCTAGGAAACCCAAGGACACACCCGCCATTCATGTTGACCCCAAGTGAAATCAACCCCAGCTCATTCAATGGGGGTGTTCCCCTTCGAGAGTGAGGACTCCCCACTCACCCGGAAAAGTGGACACCCCCCTTTTTTCCGTACGCCGGGGTTGATTCATAGAGGCTCAACCTTCATCTCGCCGCCAGTTGAGCAAAGCTCAAGGCCAAAACCGAGCTCTGCGGTCTGAGGGGCTGTTGGGACCTCCAGAGCCTCTCAAGCACCGCCACCAGGTCGTAGTGCCCGGCATCTCTGGCCTAGCGAAATGGAGTAGAGACGAGCTCCGAGCTCCGAACTCGGCGGTGTCTTGGTTGCGGCGGCTGCTCTTCTTTCCTTTTTTTTCTGCGGAAGGGCTGGTGCTTTTAATTGAAGCAGGTAAGGGTCTGCCTGGTGTAAAACACGGGAGGTCGGATTTCTGAGGTGGCGGAAAGTTTGGGAGAGAAATTGTGGGACTGCGTTTTAGGATACCTGCTTCATGGCTCAGTCCGAACATGGGTGGATATATTCTGCTTGGCTATGGCAAAGGGACCAACAATCCAAGCCATCAGAAGGGAATAAGCTTGAACTCAGGCTTTGGTCCCCTTAAAGGAAACCACCAATTGGATGGTTTATGGGGTTCATTCCCTCATTCCCTGCTGAGCACCAGCGAGTAAGGCGCACATGTACTTTCTTTTGTTTAGTTTTCCGGGTTGCTGGTGCTGCAACCCGAGTGCAAACCAATGATTGTCAGGGGGTTATATCACAGGAAATAACTAGAAGTGTATGCAAGCTAACCAAACGGCACCACACACAAGCACGCCATAACTCTTTTATCCGAGCAGTGTGTTGGTGCCAGGGACTCATCTTCCCCTGTCAGATGTCAAAGGCTGGGTGGGCCCCATGGGCCCCCCAACTCACAATCTCAAAAACTGAAGAACGGGTGTGCAGACTGATAGCGCCCGCCCCTGAGCCGGGGCCCGGGGCACCCAGGCCACAGGGGGGTCTGCCACCAGGGGAAGTGAGTCACCCACCGGCTCCGGTCACGGGAGCATGGGTGGGCCCACGCTAAGATCAAATGCATCTCCATTCAGGAGACGCGGGAGAAAAACGAACTCCTCGCAGAGTTCCTGTTTGGGGACCCTGTGCAAAGGGTCGAACCCAGAGAAATCTGGGTGCGTCAGCTCATCAGCCCATTGATTGAATTCTCGGGGCACGTGGTTGGCCGCCAGCGAGCAGCCATGGGTGTGGAGCAGGAAGACCAGCTCCATCAGGATCGCCGCCGTGTAGGGCTTCTTGGATCCAAGGTTGAGCATCGCCATGACGTTGCCCTGATTGTCACTGCCCACCGGGAGTCGGACCCGGGAGGACAGAGGGCCTTGGTGCGTGAGGATCATGTTACAGAGGAAGAGCGTGCCCAGCATTTCCAGAGCCGCAATCCTCCGCTTGGGATCCCCATTCTTGAATGCCCAAGGGTACTCCTCCACGTGGATCTGCTCGTGGAACCAGTACACCTCCTTCTTTTCCGGCTCCACTTTGTTGGAGCACCAACCTCCCACAAATGCCAGTCCTTCGTCCGAGGCGCTAGCATCGCTGCAACCCCACCAAGAGGACTTCGGCAAGTAAGGGGAGTACTGGACGAAGGGCGTGTTGAAGAGGAACCGCAGCATGAACGCCAGCATCCTGACCACCTTGGGGGGTTTCCCCACCGTGGTGGTGGCCATCTTCCAGGCCCAAAGTGGCTGGAGCATCGACTTCGCCAGCGGACATGCAGCAGTCGCCCATTGGATGCGACCCAGGGCCTTCTCGATGTCCTTTGAGTGCATCGCCTGCCCTTCCACCATGGTCTGCAAAACCTCCATAACCAGGATGTGTTTGTTGGCGGCCATGAGAACCTGCGGGATGTTCGGGTGGACCACGAAACCCAGCCACGTGTTAACCTCCGCCAAATGCGTCTTCTTCCAGCTAAGCGGGGTGCCCAAGGCCAGGAGTGTTGCCAGCAGCGCCACCGCCAAGTTTACTGCCCCCTCGCTTCGAAGCAGCCACAGGAAGTCATCGACAAAGACGAAGTTCCAATCCACTTGAGGGAAAAGTGCGTAGAGGACCCTGAGTAGAAGGGCTGCCAGGCGTCCCCAGTAGGATTGGGCACTGGCCATGCCATATGTGCCTACCTTGTTCACCCACCATTCTTCCCCCAGTGAGGCCACCTGGAACCGCCAGTCCTTCCTGAGGACCTTCACTCTCCGGTGGGCCTTGGTGACGTCCGCCTTGAGCAGCACCCACCTGGTGCCCGGCTCCGGCCATAGCCAGCCCCCAGGTGGAGGTTTGACGACCTCCCTCTCGGGGCCAGGGGCACCCTGAGAGGGGGGTCCCTCCGCAGCTGCCGCATGTAGCCAATGAAGAGCTTGTACCCCATCCAGCACCGTCGGAGCCGTCGTCCTTTCCACCGTCTGGTTCCTGATGGTGTCATTGGCCCCGCCCACCGAGCCATCGTAGATGGTGCGGATCTTGTCCCCCTCGTCGATGCCCGCTAGGGGGCCGGGACAAAGGTCCTCGATTTCGCAGCCACAGCGCGATGCTGCCTCCACCTTACTGAAGGGGCCCTCTACCATGCCCATGGGGACCTCCTCCAGAAATGTGCCCCGGATGAGCTCGCTGAAGTGATCCGCCGAGGGGTAGTTACCCCTGCCCGTTGGGTGAGGGAGTTCCTGGAACTCCGGCTCCTCCCCTTTCAGCTCCTTCTTGAGTGGCCAGATGCCCGGCGAGGTCAGGGGTGGGTCCGTGACCGACCCCTTGCTCCAGATCTCGGGGAAACTGGTGGTCGTCCTGAATGTTCAGCGCCACGCTGTGCAAGATGTCCAGGAAGAAGGGTTGGCCGTCAGCTGGTCGGCCTGCCCCCGGCGCCAGAATCTCCCTGATATCCTCCAGCAGGGATGTGACCCGTCCCGCGACTCAGTGGCCGAGTCCATGGGGCCAGCCGTCCCAACGAGGGCTTTCCCCCTCCGTCCCTTAGGGGGCGCTGTTTGATGGCCATCTGGAGGTACATGACCTTGTCGGAGAGATTTGGGTCGTGCGTGATCGGCAGGATGGTGGGCCGATCCGAGATTTCCATGCCATGGTGTGCCCATGGCTCAGGGGAAAGAGTTCCCCCCCAAAGTTCGTCCGTCTCGCCAGTCCTCTGTGTCGGTGTCCGGACCTCCGGATTGTCCGAGGCCGAGACCGGAAGTGAGCCCAAGGTTAGTCCCGCCAACGCTTGTTGGCCAGCCTTCAGCCTCCGGGACTGGCGCTTGTTGTCCCCCGGCGTGCTGGGAGAAGGTTCCCTCTGCCGCCTCGGGGGGGTCGTTGGGTTCGTCTGGGGCACCGTGCCCCCCGGCCTCAGCGCCTCCAGGACGGGTCCCGCTCGGCAAAGGATGGCCGCTGCGAGACCCTGCATCATCTGCTCTGGGTACCGGCTGAGGTCACTGGAGTTGAGCTTTTCCCCCCTGGGGTGAGCCCCGTGGTTGCACCGCAGATCATGCCAATGGTGAAGGGGAAGGTCCGTTGACAATGTCGTGGACTTCACTACCACCTGGCCCAGGCGGCACTCGTCAAACTTGATGAGGGAGTGGTGGAGTGCGTTCGCTGATTGAATGTAGGCCCGTGTGACCCACTCCATTGGGTCCATTGGGTGCTCCAAGAAGGAGGAGCCCACCTGCGGGACCGTTAGCTGACCTAGCCCCTTGTAGGCCAGCGAGGTCAGGTACATCTGTCGGAGCATGAGCACGCTGTCATTGTCCGTGTCCTCCATAACCCGGGGCTCCAGGTCCTCTAAGATCCACAGGGTCTGCTCCGCTCTGCCCCTCACCGGCGGGCCACCCGGTTTGGGGAACCATCTGAGGATGCTCCACGTCCTGCAGTTGGGGCCGCCCCCCACAAAGGCGACCTTGCCCGCCATGGCCATGGAGCACATCGTAGAGTAAGGCTCATCTCCCAGCATGTCCTGTCCAAGGTCTCCACCCTTTCGCCTGATGTCCACCGCCCAAATGTACTCCGAGAAGGCCGGGTTGTAGGCATGGAGGTAAGCATCCAGGGCCCCCGCATCATCCTTCCCAGCGTACAGCAGGATGAGGGACGGCTTTGACGACTCCGGCACCGGACGTGGCGTTATCTTAGTCTGAGCCTCAGTCTTTCCGGGATGTCCTGCATCCATGGGAAGGTGGGGCTTGCCCCCCCTAGGGATTCCGTGCGTTCTTTGTCTGACCCTCCCGCCATCTGTCCCTGGGCTTGCTGCTTGCCCTGGCGGTTCTTCCCGCCCTTGGAACGCCCCTTGCCGGGCGGATCCTCACCTCTGGGTCTCTCTGGGGGGTCTTCCCACTGCCTCGGTGGGTGCGGGGGAAAGGGATGCTTCCGCCCTTCTGGAGTGCCCTGGCTGGGTCCGCTCCTCTTCCTCGGTGGAGGGGCTTCCGGGGCCGGTGGCACCCTGGAGAAGTCCCCTCCCACCTGAGGCCGTCCTGGCCTCCCCCGCTCTGTCTGCCTTCCGCTGTGGCTCTGGTGGGGTTGGCTCTCCCCTCTGTGTGCACTCTCGCACTGGTGGCCTGTGGTCCCAACGGAGACCAGGAAGCCACGGGGCCTATGGCACCCTGAGTGGCCTCCTGTCACTTGGGAAGGTGTGGGCATGCCTGTGGCACATGCTTCGATGGGGGGGCATCGCACACCCACCCATCCTTCCTGACCGGGCAGTTGTGGGATCGGCCGCATGATCCCGAACACTTGTTGTGGAGGTGATGATCTCTGCAGCTGCAGTACGCCACCCCTTTGGGATTCTTGAAAGCCCAGTGGTCCGGCCATGGAACCGAGAAGGGGTTGGGGGACTTCCCCTTGCCGCCCTTGCCCTTCGGCTTGGACCGGGTCGGCCCCGAGGGCCAGGAACCTTTCCCCCCCTTCTTGGGCTTCTCCCACTGAGTCTGCCACACCTTGGGTGCCTTGCTCTTGCTCTTCCCCTTCTCCGGCGCCCTGTTGAGGTGCTCATAGATCTTGCGCCATGCATTGCGCTCTGCGAACAGCAAGGTGGTGTCGCTCGGGGGAGGCTTCCTGCCGGCGATGTCTTCCCCATAGAACCAGGCATACCAATCATCCAGCTCCTCCTTGGTGACCCTCAGGTTGCCAAACTGTGGCAGTGCTGCCGTGCACATCAGGAGCGTCGTCCTGAAGGTTAGGTGCAATCGTTCCAGCTGGCGCCGGGATGTAGGGTGGCTCCTCACCTCTTCTTCATCCTCCCTGTCCCAGCCGTCCACCGTGATCT